AAAATAAGCAGCCAGGAATTATACTAATTAGACAGCCTGTTCGACTTGCATGCATAAACAAATTGCATGAATGTGCCAATGGGCAGCTGCGGGTTATCAAGATTGTTTATGCAATGCCTCTGATTATTTAAATGAGGCAGCAATTCCATATAATAATTTATTATAGACGCATTCGATGTTTTTTGTCTGGCCGATAAGCCAGCCGTTGAATAACGTGATTATTAAACAGTATACTTACAGTATAAATTAATAGTGGCCGACTAAAGAGCAAAGCTGATAGCAGGAACTAAGACCCTTCGATATCAATGAATTTGGGGCCCACGTCTGTTTCTTTTCAAAGATTTCATAAACTGGTTTTATGTTGTTTCTGGCTTCGACTTTTCTCAATTCTTCTTTCAACTTTTTCTGGGGATTTCACGGCCCGCGAATCATAAAGCATTTGCATAAACAAACGCTGCCCCTTTGTGCGTTTTATTTTGTAGGCTTTTAAGCACAAAAGCGTCACATTTCACTTTTCCCCGTGGGCATGTGAAAATTTCGGCTTGAATCAACTTTTCAGAAACATTTAAAGCCGATCTCATGAATCCAAAAGTATTTTTTTCTATATGGGTTAATGCCATGCTTAGTTTGATGAACTTGATATTTCAGTTTTGGTCTTTCTTATCATTATTATTCTTTGACATATTTATTTTCTGGAAATGTTAATTAGGCTTGAGTCAAAAAAGAAATCGAAATCGATATCGAAATCATTAGCCCAGATTTAGAATATCTCAATATCTACACGTACCTCACAATAAAGTTTTAAAACTGCGGTAAATGTTGTTTTATAACTTGGCCGAAACATATTTCATTTATTTGGCAACCGTTCAAATGGCCATTTTCATTTTTTTAGAGCACTTTTAAGTGCTGGTGCAAAGTGTTTTATAGACCCGCAGCCCATATATGTGGATATGAACACAACATAAATGTATAACTAATCTTTAATTACCCACCTTGAAATTAACATACACTTTCTGCAGTCGTCATTTGGCGCCTGTCCAAAATTGATATTTCCCAATTTGGGCACCCAAATCGACAGACTGTTTAAATGTTTCTAAGGCAATTGCGACACATTCGATTTGCATTTTTCCATAAATGTTCAATGGGAAGTACAAGCGGTGAGGATGGTATTTAAAATTCAATTTGGAAGCGGAGCTGATGAAGGTGAACAAATTGGGCCTTTGTTTTGAGTTTGCTCTGGTTCTGACGTCGACTTCGATTCGCTCATCAAATTTACGTTTATTAATTGAACTTTTGTTACACAAAATCTGATTAGCCATCTCAAATGGATAAATAATTTGTGCTTCTCCTCTCAAAATTGAGTTCAACGAATGAATTTTGGTTGTCAAAAGGGAGGGATAAAATCTTGATTTGCTGATGGAATGGAATATGAGTGTCCTCGACTTTAGACACCACTGAAATATTTATCGTTGACATTTCACTTTTGGGACAAGAGCGGAGCGGCAATCAAAATGCAATTTACATTTTTAATTTGACTGTGACTGGAAATCGATCGTATTTGAAATGCATGAAACTATTCCGAAAATTGCAATCGCATGCAGCCAATTCGTTTAATGGTTCTTTCTGTCCAGGCGCACTAATTTCCTTTACAAAACCAAAGGTAAAACCCAACTAGGTTTATCCAAGTTGTGAGAAGTATTTCACACACAAAAAAAATCAGCTACTTATTTTCGGTAATATTTAATAGAAGCATACTTTTATTTTTTATTTTTTGTATGAAAATAAATATTTGATTAAATAAATTAAGTCAAAATTATTAGCAATTAAGACGGTAAGCACAAAGCAGTTTTTATAAAAATTCTCTTTATATTCCAAAATAAAAAATATACAGTGTAAAATGCAAACAAACCTTTTCGAATTCCACGCCTGTGAATTTCTTTTTTTTTAATTTCAAATTAAATTTAATTATTTTTACTTCTCAAACGACTTGTTTTAAATCTTAGCTTCATATGTATCATTTGAATTCTTCTACCTTATATATAGTTAATTAAGCTTATATCTTAGATTTGGTAAAGACTTAACATTCAAACCAGATGTTTGTACTTTTAGATGTTGACATGTTAAAACTTCAATCCAATCATATAGTTTTTCTCACTGTTCACCGATTCCGGAAGTTTCTGCAACAGTGCACTGCAGAGGAGTAGAGTGGGAAGGGGGTGCTTGATACAATTTTATTCGCAGTTAGCTACGACTTTGTTGTTGCTGCTGGGCCAGCTGTTGCTGGTGCACATGCAACATGTTGCATGTTGTTGCCACATTGCCGTAGGCATTTCATCATAATATTTATGCAAAGTTTCAGCGATAGATGTGGCAAGCCATAATAATAAAGGTATAATTTGCTATTGCGCCCCCCTTACAACATCATCGCCCTTCGTAATCTACGGTCAAATAGTTTTTGCTCTCGTTTCTGTATGTTGTCTTTGGGAAAATCTGAGGAAATTCCTTAGATAAGTTTCTTGGTGGTAAACATAATTCATTAGATCCCACAATTACAGTTGACTCAGCGAAAAAATTCACTAGGCAAGCGTTGAGAAATTTTTATGAAATTTTTAGTTTCTGTCGTTTTAAGTTACCCTTACTTCATTAGAAGAGTCATACAACTTTAATAATATTGTGAAAAATATATTAAAGAATTAAGTATTTTCTTATTAAAAAAATACCTATTTTAACTGATAGAAATTATACATTTACTAGCTCTTGAAATCTTGAAATATTTTTTTATTTAAATTGTAAAACTTTTTAAGTATAAGCCAAAAAAACAAATAAATAATATTCAATATATTTAAAGTTATAATTTATATTTTACAACTCTGCTAATTTAATTCCATCAATAATTATGACCTAGAAATCAAATTTGTAATAAGTATAAGCCAATGAAAGCGCTGTTTTGTCATTAAAAGCTATTTCTAAATCATAACTTAGAGAGAGTATGTAGTGCATCACTTATAGAGTAACGGGTATAAGAAAATGCTTTTCCAAATCCAAGATCGCTAATTTTCCCAGAGGGTATTCTAAGATGGTAATTTCATTCTCTGCTTCACACGTTTTGTCTTCGACTAGAAGTCTTCCAAAATGGTATCATGTCGCCAGTTCATCAGCAATGCCCGTAGGAGTGTTCCCCGGTGCTCCAGTTGTGGGCCAAACGGATCCACACAATTAACTTCGTTTAGGGTAATTTCCGGGCCAAAGAACTATGAAAAACATACTGTATGTACGGCATGGAACTCAGTGTCTCATGTTACAAGTTACCAAACAAATCTCTGGGTAAATCGGTTCTTTGTGCCCCAAGGGAAAGCAGAAAGCTGGCCGCTCGACATGCGAGTGACAAGTTAAACGTCGGTTTCATAATTGCTCACGGCTCTTGAGTAAATCTGGTATCAGATTTCGCACGGGATGGAAAATATAAATTCAGTTGTGTGAAAATCGCGGGGTCGGGCATTGTTTGTTTTTATTTTTAGCGGCGAATGCGGAAAACTCTTTCTATATGCAATGCAGTTGTTGTTGCTCCGCTTGCCACATGGCCCACAATTTCGAAATACCTCTCAGAAAATAATGAAAACTATTTCAATACTCGACTGCCAGTATTTGCAATTCAATTTCGTTTTAGTGCAGACCAAGAACGAGAGTGAAACAAGTTAGTAAACATTTTTGTTTTGGGGAAATTGGAAATTTCAAGGTTCAGATTTCGCGTTTGCACAGCCGAATGTTTTTTTGGGGATGTTTTGTGTTACTGGATCAAGGATTCCCCCCAGGTGCGTCGGTTGGGGGGGTGGACAGGTGTTAGGGGCTTTTTTTTTTGGTGCCAGGCACCACGACCTCTGTTGCTATTGACACTCGGTTGGGGGCTAACCTTTGTTTTCCCCCCTTCATTTGGGGGAAATGCTGAAAAGATTTCACTTGGACTCAATATGTGTTTATAAATAATACTTAAAGCCAATATTGCCTGCTCAATACTTCATAGAAAATGTCAAGTGAGTGAATTTATGTTCTAGAGCCGCATAAATTGAAATTTTATTTATTTTGCTCTTTATTCAATGTTCTCGAAAAAATACATAGATCAGCAATAGCTGTTAAAGCGTGACATTATATATGATTTATTAGAAAAATATTCTCATGAAGATTTGTTTTGATTTTGAAAAGAACGCATTTTTGAATGGCGATTTTAATATTTATTGGGCATTAAGCCATAGGGTAACTATGTAACTATGTAGTTACATATATAATCCTCGGCAATACAAAACTTTTTCTAAACTTTAGTCTTTTAATGTTTTCCATTTACAAACAAACGTAAAGTTTATCGGAACATGGTTAGGCGAAAGCTTACCATTAATTAAATTTGTAGTGCCCCTCGACTGATATTTATCAAACAAAGTTTCCACGAAACTTTGACCTTTTTTAGTGGTTTCAGTTACAGATTTACTGGTTGTGTGTGTGCCCTGCAAAGCGAACATATTTTTATGTCAAATCAGATTTCCCGCAACTGGCTGGGCCAAAAGTGAAATGTCAAAAATCAGAGTCATACGTTACACATTAATTTAATTAGCTGTTTATATATTTATACATACCACTATGTGTATGAACCTGCGATAGGAAAAAGCGTAGTGACACGTGAGCAATTATTCCCGTTCAGTGTTTGGATGGCATGTCGTCGTTATTCCTGGTCATAGAAAAGTCCACTAACGAACAGATGGCTGGATAATGGATAATGGAAGGTATGAATCAGAGCTCAGGGTCTGCAGGGCACAGAAGTTGGGTGAGTCACGGATGCGGCATTTGGAAATGCCTTTGGGCCCAGAAAACGGGTCTTGAAGTTGGGCTTTCGATCCGCAGAGAAATGGGTGTGCCACATACTTACATATATATGTATACATACGATTAATTTTTATTTAATTACCCAGCCACTTGAGTGTCATACTTACAACTGTTTTCCTCAATTGCAGCCACCACGCCAGCACGCCAATTAATCGAAGGCGTTCCGCAAATTAAAGTTCAATCAACGAGGCTTGTACCGCTAAATCGAACGCCGAAGATGCAGTGCGGCCTGGAGCAGATGAACGACTGTGAGCGGTCACCGAACCGGACGAACCTCCGGGTCAACTTCAACGAGAAGGGGGCGGAGGTCAAGGAGCGGCGCGAGAAGTTCCTCACGGCCAAGTACGGGTCACACCAGATGAGCCTCATCCGCAAGCGACTGGCCGTCGAGATGTGGCTCTACGACGAGCTCCAGAAGCTCTTCGATCCACCAGTAAGTAGTGATTCAGTCATATGATTGAAACTAGAATGGTTATTGGAAGTCATGTTCAAACAACTACATTTTTTAAACGGGCAAGAAAGTGGTAACGATAGCAACTTCAACTGATTTCAAATTTTGTGTCTAAGGCTCAATATATTTTTGTGCAAAACAAAAACAAAATTTTATGATCTATTCTATTTTAATAAAATACCTCTTAAAATACCACCTTCAACAAAATTTCTGATATCGAATTTTGTGACGAAAAATGATAAAATTTTGGTTACTGTAAAATGTTATATTCTTAATAGTTTTTAAAAATTGTCTGGGTATTGCTTTAAAGATTTAAGATACCTCTAGCAAAGACGATTTGTCATTTAACAATTTTAATATATGATTTTAAAGTATTTTCACGCTAAACTAGTAAATTCTCCAAAAAGTGGTAAAGCGAACATTTTTGTGCTAAATTGTAATAACTTTTTAGTGGTCTAAATTAAACTTGGTTTTACATTCACCGCAAATTATCCCAAGCTGATCGAACTCAAAAGTACGTTTCTATACCTTTCTGTTCTTTTATATGTGGAACCATATTAAACATAATATTCACTAATTAACCATATATTCTCTGCAACCAGAACGAGGCCATCGATGTGGACATTGACGAGATTCTTGACATGGACACAGATGACATAAGAAGATCTCATCTTATAGTGAGTACCTTAATACCAATCCATAATATTACACCAGCTAATTGCGTTTTCCCGCTTTTGCAGAGATTACTGTCAGTCTGCAAACGCCCGCAATCGGACATATCGAAGTTCATTGGCGATCTGCTGGATCGCGCAAAAACCCTGTAAATCGCCAGCCCCTCATTTAAGAGATCATCCAGCAGACCTACACACATATAATATGCAGATAAACTTGAATACCTAGAACATTAAGTTTAGCTTGGAACACAAAGAACAAAGAATTCAGTTTGCAAGTCTTTAACCTACCTATTCGAACACTGTGTTGATTTTTTTCATGTACTTTAGTTGTTAGTTTGTATCTTTGCGCTGACTAATTTGAAGTTTAGCCTAATTTAAGCTACCCCTGGAAATGATAAAGATGATGGAGGTCGTTAGCCCTAAGCTTATGGTGTAATGCCGAGAAAACAAAAACACTTCATCAATTTTGTGATGATACTTTTTAAATAAAACACAAACATGATATGGTCCCAAACCAAAAGCCAATGTTTAGCTACATTTGAATTGAAATCCATTGCAATGGAGTGCCCTCTTTAGTTAAATAAATACGTTTAGATCCAATATTGAGGGGAATGTAATCCCCTAGTGACACTCCGGTTGTTTTGCAAAACTAGTTCATTTGCATGTGTGTGCTTCATTTAGACGCTTACCCGTATAGACTCCGAAATATCATAATCTACGTAGCCCAAAGCTGCAATTTAATAAAAGAACATTTTTGTAAGTACAGTGTGCGATCACCAAGTCAAAGATGAAAGCTCAGGTTCACTGCCAAAACGTGGAGGAGGAAGATTATTGTATGCGCAGTTAGCAAGTACAAACGGTAATGGAGAACAGGAGCACAGTAAAGCCTGGAAAAAAGGAATTTTAACCACACATCCCACACTTTGTTCTCTTCAGGATCGAATCAAGAGTGCAAGAACACATCCTATAAATGGTACTGCATTTAGAAGGCCAAGACTACACAATTTCAATAGTTGTAAATAAAATGTTAATGAATACAACACAACTGCACACCCAAAAATTTGTAAATACCCTCGGAAAAGCATCAACACTTCTTCACTCCACGAAATCTACACCTCTTTGTAGTAGTATCTAAACATTTTCTAGCAATCAAATCGTAACGTAAAAGTATTTTAATGTGCTCAATTTAGGCGAAGGATGAGAGATACGTAATTATGATTATGTTATAGCACACTTAGACTCTCAAATTAACCCCTAATTCTCTCTATCAGATCTTCAAAGTATTAGTAACTTCTTAAAAATGCTATTTGCATACTAGTAACAACCAATTAATCATCGCATTGCTCCATTGCAACATTTAAAACAAGCATTAAACGATTATTTAAGCAAGTTTAGCATTATAATACTTAATCATGCACACAATTCTCATTTAAATGAAAATCGGAAAAGCACACACAAAAACACACGCTAAAAGGTGCGAAGAGCTGTTATGAAAAGCTAATTGAACAAATTTATAAAACGCAAATGAAAAGTTTACAATAAAAATTTAATTGCTTTAGACAACAACATTTTGGCGTTTTATTTAACATTCGTTGCAATATAGTACCATAAATAAATGACAAAACAGAGATCCCTGGGAAAAGAGAATATTTTATTGGTGTGTTTTCGTAAACACCTTCTGAAAAGATAACGTTTGTCCTATAAAAAAAATATATATATATATAAATATATTTTTTCTTAATAAGCTATTCCTTACGATTTTTAAGGTCCAAAGAAAAAGTGCAATAATTTCACGAGCATCAGTTAAGGTAAATAGATTTTAATACCTATATCAACTTCAGTTCTTTCTCTATACTAAAATGAATATTATAAATAAACAGAATCATGAACCATAAGAGACAAATAAAAAACAATTCAAAAGTGAAGAAAATAGGTTTAATGGTTTCAGAAGGTATCACTCATAACAAAAAATCAAAAACCTGAATTTAAAAAGTGCGGTTCGTAACGGAAAGTAATCGACTATCGATTATCCAGAAAACAAACGATACTTGGCCGGTGCTGCCAGACAGCTGCACTGCAACAGCTGTTCCGAATAGTTGTAAACAATTTCCAGCAAGTCGGAAATGAAGGACTATTTCACCTGGACCTATCCGGATATACCCGAAAATGTGGCGTAAGATATGCAATAACTGCCATGAGGATCTCATCCAGTGTTCGCTTTAGCCAGGAGCTGCGGCAGCTGAACACTTCGCTGGTCGTGGTGGGAATCGTGGGCCGCTCGAAATGCGACCAGGCCAACAAGATGCAGGCCTTTGGCATGGAGCCGCCCATGGAGCACTCGGCCAGGGACGGCCAGGTGCAGTGCTACTACAAGCCCGGCACCTCCAGCCTGCTGCTGCACTTCGAGACCACCTACGATGAGGCGATCCTGGGCCAGATGATAGACGCCTGCATGGAGGAGCCGGAGACTCCGTTCGACTTCGATAGCTTCTACGAGGGGATGCGGTGCCGCTTTGTGCGCATGATGCTGCTGGCTCTGCACGTCTGCCACATTGTGGTCTACGTGGAAACGGGCCAGACCTTCGATCCCACGCTGGTCACCGTGTTCCAGCTGCTCAAGTTCGCCAGGGAGCAGCATTTGATGCAGTTTTTGCCGCAAATGCTCAGGGATGTGATGCCCGCCGCCAGGATGGGCGAGAAGGCACGCTTGTGCGCCCCCCGGATTCTCTTCCTGTTCGAGAACTTTCCGCGCGATGAGGCCAAAACGCGCGAATGCGTCTCCGCCTATGAGTTCCAGACGGAGGACTGCATCTACGAGCTGCTGCGCCACCACAACATCGTGACCAACAGCAGCAGCAGTTCGCTGGTGGCCCTGCCCAACAACAAGCAGTTCGTGTTCTTCAACGCCCACGAACAGCTGCATCCCGACAAGCTGCTAAAGGCCATCGAGTGCCTCAACGTGGCCATGTACAAGCCGGATGTCAAGGAGGAGGAGGAAGACCTAGAGATTCTCGAGCTGGCCCCCTTCGAGGGCTTCGTCAAGCCCTTTGGCGTTCCGCCGGATGAGAAGGAGCTGGAGCAGCAGCAGTACCAGAAGGATCACACGGTCTGGCATTTTCTGCAGCGACACGTCCAGGATGCCCTGTCGGGTTGCTACGATGAGGGCTCCTTCAAGCAGCCGCCCCAACCGGGGCAGTTTCATCTGCTAAATGTCCAAGAATGGCACGATTGGATGGCCACGCTGCACAAGCTGTTGGTGGAGAATGCCAGGAATCCCAATCTAGAGACCAGCAATGACGAATATGTGAGTAAAGCAAATCACTGGCGAAATCCTGGAAATGTAGGTTATTTTTTCTCTATCATTGCAGAGACTCTTCCTGCAGAGCTTTGACGAGAGCTTGAACTATGAGAAAAAGTAAGAGGATTTAAGCTAAACATACTTATTGAGCGACTCACCAGCTAGTTTTTTTTTGCAGATTTTGGGCTCACCTGTGCGAACTTGGCCTGAAGAAGGGCATTTCCGCCTATAAGAGCGCCGCACCCGCCAACTACGGCAGCTCCACCCACCAGCAACTGCTGGCCGAGGCCACCGTGGCCTTCGAGGAGGAGGGACGCGGTCCGCAGGCCAAGGCGGCGTTGGCCAAACTGGCAGCCGTTTGCCAAAAGCACTGGCAGGATGGACGGCAGCAATGCGAGCAGCCCAGCCTGCGCTCCCATCCCTGCAACCTGCCCAAGAACGTGCCGCACGAGAAGCACAGCAGCGGTGTGATTCACATCTCCAGCTGCAACTGCGGCCGGACGCAGGGTCGCCGCGAGGATCCGTTCAGCCTGCGGCAGGCCAACTACGAGTTCTACGAGCACATGGCCCAGATGTGCAACCTCTGCGTCAAAGTCAAGCAGTACCAGTTCCCCGTTTTCGAGCCCTCGGTGAGCGACTATCGGGCGGCGGCCTTTGAGGCAGCCTTTCCGCTGCTGCACACGCAAGGCAAGGGTGGTGGTCCACCCCAGGACGAGGACGACGGCGAGGAGGAGGATGAAGAGGAGCCGGAAGAGGAGGATTTGGAGGAGGAGGAAGGGCAGGAGCCACAGCCGCCGGCGGAGGAGGAGCAGCCGAATTCCGCCAACAACGGCTGCTCCCAGCCACTTTCACCCACCTTTGGCTCAGATCTAAACATGTCCATAGCTGGCTTTGGAGCCTCCCTGAACGCATCGCAGGCCAGCTCCGAGCAGCTAACGAATTCCGAGCAGAACGCCACCACGAGCAGTGGCACCTCCAGCGGCGACACGGACAACGAACTGGTGGTGCAGATCCAGGAGAAGGACAAGAAGGAGGCCGGTCCACCGGACACCTTCTCCACCTCCACATCCACCACGGAGTACCTGCCCGGCTTGGTGCACACCGTCAGCGACTTTGGCCTGTTGCCGCTATTCCCCAGCTGGTCCCTGGCCTGCGTGGGTCCCAGTTCCATCTATAGCCACAACACCGGGCTGCAGGAGCACTTCCAGAGCGGCTTCCTCTCCGGCGCCAACTTCCTGCTGCCCTGGGATGTCCAACTGCGGCTGGTGCACGCCCCCAAGCAGCAACAGCAGCAGCAGCACCACCACTCGCATCACCAGCAGCAGCAGCAGCATCCGGGAAAGAAACAGCAACGCTGGAAGAAACAGGGCGATCGACTTTCGCTCAAGATCTTCGTGGGCATGGAGTACGAGTGCTCGCGAGGGCACCGCTTCATGATGTGCGCCCCGGATCGAGTGCTGCGCGGCGGAGCGGACATCGAGCGGGACACCTGCAGCAAGGTGGTGCACAACAACATGCCGCTCTACTATCCGTGTCCCTGTCGATCGCAGAACAACTACCTGGCCCAATTGATGCGCATCCATGTGGTCACGCCCAAGGCGCCGGTCAACATCATTGTGGATCCCAGGGTGTGCGTGGCCAAGGGCAAGTACACCTTCACCCTGGGCAGCATCATACCGCCCCGTCTGTCGCAGAGCGCCTACTGGATCGTCCGGCTGCCCTTCGTCTACCAGGGCGACGATGTCCTCATCGCTCCGCCGGACAAATTCGAGCCGGATGACCCGATGGCCGGCGGTTACCTGCTGGCCGGCATGTTCGGCGTGGCCGAGACGGATCCCTCGCTGGATCTGAACGAACCTGGTCGGATGGCTGGGTCCGCAGCAGGAAACTTTACCAGAATTTAAGGCTTAAATCTACACAAATAAACTCAGAAATTCATGGATCCCTTACGATTACAAGTTTTAATTAAAACGGAAAATCAAAGTTCAATACCGAAAATACGAAAGTAAGGCAAATCCATATATATTTAGCCTTAAATTTCTTCAAAAACAAATTGGATATTGGATATAGTCGTCTGATTGTCATTATTTTCACTTATTCACTGTAAACAAATCAAAATACGATGGATAAGTTAATTTTGATAGCTAAACTTTCTTAAGTTTAAAAAATAAATCAAACTGATTATATAAGTATACTTGGGGTTATATATAGGAGCTATATATGTGTGTTGAAAACGAGAATCGGAAGTTTATATACTCTTGCAGCTATTGCAAAAATTAAGTTCTTTAAAACAGCTAAAATTTGATTTGCAATCGTTTTTATGGATTTATAATTAAACTATTTCAACAAAATTATTCCAAATAATTACAAAATAAAATTTAAAAATAGCAAAGCTATAATTTGTTTATATATTTCTTGTAATACTCTTATTGTTAATCAAATTAAAAATATATTTCCAATATAATAAACCATTCATGTATCTTGAAGAATTTAATAAACAACAAACATTTCAAATTAAAAAGCCAACAAAGTTATAACTTTTTTAAATATTTTTCTGATTGTTTCCATGGGAGCTATACGTTATAGTCTTCCGATCCGGCATGTTCTGACTTATATACTACCTTCAATTAAAAGACAACTTTTGGAAAACTTTCATACAGATAGTTTTTAAATTAGAAAGACTAGTATTTAAAGTTTATAAACTCCTTTACTGCGTTTTATACCCTCTGCAAGGTTAGAAAACCCAGTTAAAATCATTTAAATTAATACATTACCTGTTGACTAACTTATGTTAATAAGACGAAATGAATAAAATTAGTTACCTATTCAGTTGTAAGATATTTCACTTCTTTGCCTCATTGCTGAAATAACTAAACAGCTGAAAATGTTTAATTATTTCAGCCACCCCGAATAAAAAGACTGGGCTCTTAAGTATAACGATTAATGTAATCTCTTCAGGCGATTTAGGGAAATACGCGACGTGGAATACTTGGAACCATTGCAGTTCCAATGTGGGAAAGGGAAAATCCTTTGGGATGTAAAATGAGCAGCATAAAGTAGGCCTTAATACTAACAAAATGTAATATCTTTAGAAGATGATGTGCAAATACAATACGTCCATGTTTTGATGATTTGTGTTGCATGAGAGACAAAACTGGAATTTAGTTCTGGTTGCACAAAATGTGGAACCAGTTGTACTAGGAATGCTCCCCAAATCATTTTGATCTTATGATTAGGCAAAAAAAAAGGGTATCTGATGGATAACATTTGTAAATGTTCAGCTTTGTATGAAGGATATTGGAGCCAGGTTTTCAAGGATATTTTTACAATACGAAACTTCATGATGTCTGGGAAAAGTACATTGTAAAACTGTGACATTCATAAACTTTTAAGATGGGTTTTGAAACATTTCCGAATGATGTTCTATGTATAAATTGCACGACTTGTTCAGTTGTCAAACAAGAGCGATATAAAATAAATATATTGTAAGATCGGGCAAAGTAAAATAGTTTTGCTGAGCTGCCTGTTCAGTGTAAATATGAACGGCTCACATAAACTATGGCCAATCGTAGGTGGTGCTTAGGTCTAGATGAGCGCCTCGGTGTAGACCTCCTCCTCGTTCAGGACATAGTCGCCGAACACCTCCTCCTGGCAGCCGACGTCCATGTCGGCGAAATCCTCGTAATACATATTCGAATCCAATAGCATCTGCTCCTCCTGCAGACCCAGAATCGGATAGCTCTGGTGGGTCAGTGGTTCGTCTGCCTCCTCCATTTCGGCCTTCACCTCTGGCGGCACGTCTTCTTCTTCTTCTTCCTCGTCCTCTTCATCCGGCGGATCCTCCGGCTCCTCTTCATCCTCGCCGGTGGAATCCATTGCCAGCGGCAGCTTCGGCTGCTGCGGGATCAGCATTTGCTGCTGCTGTTGCTGGTGGTTCATCTGCTGCAAGACGGACTGGACGCGCTGCATGTAGGCCTGCTGCTCCTCCAGGCTGCACTTGCCCTCCGGCAGAGAGCCGCCCGACTGCTTCATTGTGTCCAGGAGCGCAGCATGCTGACTGGTCACGTGGTTGGCCAGCGCAGTGGCGTCCGCGTGCAGCGATCCGCAGACGATGCAGACCAGCGTCTCGTGCGGCTGCTTGGCGATCAGCATTCCCGAAGAGGAGGAGGATGACGAGACGGCGACGGCGGCGGAGGCAGCCACCTGATGCGCCTGGATGTGCTTGTTAAGGTACGCCTGCTGGCTGTAGGATTTGCCGCAGATGGGGCACGTGAAGGGCTTCTCGCCGGCATGGATCTTCATGTGGACACTCAGGCTGGAGGCCTGGGTGAAGCACTTGTCGCAGAGCTTGCACTGGAACGGCTTCTCGCCGGTGTGGATGCGCATGTGGATGTTGAGGCTGCCCGACTGCGTGAAGGAGCGATCGCACAGCGAGCAGGTGAATGGCTTCTCGCCCATGTGGTTCTTCATGTGCTGCACCAATTCCGAGCTGGCGCGGAAGGCCTCGCGACAGATGGCGCACTGATAGACCAGCAGGCAGAGATGCATCCGCATGTGCTCGTCCAGCAGCGGCTCCGCCTTGAACTCCCGCTCGCACTCCGGACACACAAACGTCTCGGTGGGCGCCGCGTGCGTCTTCTGATGCAGCAGCAGCGAGCTGTAGTTGATGAAGCCCTTGTCGCATTCCAGGCACTGGTGCGGCTTGCGTACCGAATGGGATCGCATGTGCACCATCAGGCTGCTCGACTGCGTGAAGGCCTTCGGGCAGAGCTCACACTTGTACGGCCGCTCGCCGCTGTGGATGCGGATGTGCGTGTTCAGGCTGCCGATGTGCGTGAAGGTCTTCTGGCAGATGGAGCACTGGAACGGCTTGTTGGCGATGTGCGAGCGCACGTGCTTGGACAGGTCGCCGGCATTGGGGAAACTGGCCTCGCAGTGCGTGCACTGGAAGCACTTCTGGTGGCCATTCACCGCGGCATCCATCGTCGGTGCCGGCACATTGCTGCGTCTGCCCCGCCGCCGCTTGATGGGCGTCGCGGAGTCCAGGGCGAATCCCAGCGTGGTCGTGGCTGCCGGCGGTGCAAACTGCGGCACGGGTGTCACACTGACAGCCGGTTGAACCATGAATATCGAGGTGGACTCCCGGGGATCGGCCATTTGCAGCTGATACTCATGCGGACCCGGTCCTGGGATCAGGCCAAGCATTGGCTGGCTTTGCTGGTTGTTGGAGTGACTCGAACTGGGCACCGTGCTGCCGGACGTGGAATCCGAACCGCTGGAACTCGAACTGGAGCTGCTGTCGTCGTCGTCGTCATCATCATCGTCATTGTCGTCGTCGTCGTCCGAGGAGGAGGAGCTGTCCGACTCGGAGGAGTCGCTGCCCTCCGAGGAGTCGCTGCCATCCTCGGCCAGCTCGCACACCGGCTCGAAGATCCAGCTGTAGTCCTCGTTCTCCTCGGCGGCACTCTCCGGCTCCGGCTGTCCGTGGGCGGGCTCATTCGGGTGCAGTGTGTTCATGTGCTGGTAGAGGGCCAGTGGATGAACGAAGAACTCGGCACAGCACATGCAGTGGAAGGTGAGATCCGGTGGCTGTGGCGGCTGCAGGATGTGCTGCTGCAACTGCTGTTGCGGCTCCTGCTGCTGTTGCGAATGATGCAGGATAGGGGTGATCGTGAGGGGCAGGTGGTGGTGGTGGTAGCTCTGCTTCAGTTGCACGGCCATCTTGGCAAAAGGCTAATCCAACAAAACAAAACAAAAAAACAAAACAGGCGAATGTACATAAACATTTTCTCTACATTAAGAAGTCAAAGAGCGGGGAGAAAAATCAATGCCGTACCTTGGGTGAGATTGGAAATTGAAGATTGGAGGATTCTGTTTCGTATTTTAAGGAGTTCCGGGGGGAGGAGAAGGTGTCCTATGTAGATTACTATTATATCACTGGTGTGTTGCTCAGGTTCCGTGCTTTTGTGTTTCTTTCAGGGCTCTTAACATATTTCTATTTCCACTCCGTTCCATTTTAATGCGCGTCCAAACAAAAAAAGTTGTTACTGTTTTCCGTTTTCTGTTTCCTGTTTTTGTTTGTTGTTCTTTTTGCATCTAATGGTTTATTTGTTCGCCAGATTTAATCCCTGATTTGGGGCCAATTAAATGTGGCTGCCAGGAGCTGCGCGTCGGGCGAAAGCAGCGCATCGCAAAATCGCAATTACAAGCGTCCTCGCAATGGTTACAACAAAATAAATTTTATGTTGGGCGGCCTGCGCACGGTCAGACGGCGCCCGTATGACAGCATACCGTCATGCAGGCCACTCGTGCACGCCGCCTGCATGACGGCCAAAGACGCGCGCTTCTCCAATTCAAATTGGAGCTTATATGATTTGCCTATTTTATTTTTACAGGATAGTAAAATAAAATAAAACTTATAATGATTACAGTCCCTGGTATTTAAACTGAAATCCATGAACAAAAACATTCTCATATAATAAATATTAAATATTTTCAGTGTATCCAAGGTACTAGTTTTTGGATATAGGATTTTGAGAAAATAATTACATACCTAAATAAGTTACAGGGTACATAATTTGAGAAGTATCTCTAGGTAATGTAAAAGGTACAAGGAAGGTAAAAAATAATTTAATTGTTTAAAAATTTAGTCTGGTTGTAGCAACAATTAAAGATAGATATCTTATACCTAGCATATGTATGTGGTGGAACAAACTTTTCTTCAAGTCGCCTAATCAATTAAATTGTACAATTTGGTTGCTGTTAAATTGATCATAAATATTATTTTTGAGTTTTATTATATTTATCAGAAAATAATAATTATTTTTAAGCAATAGCGGTCAGAAATATATAAATATAGACATATATATACATTGTAATGATTATTGTGTGGACGATATTATTTCGCTTAAAAATATTACTCAAAACCCGATGGTGGCCGTTTTAAACGGAATTAAGAAAAGATTGAAATGTTCACTTGTTGGTTGAACCACGGATTTAATATATGTATGTGGTTGCTTCCCTTTCTTATGAAAACCCTTTGAACAACGGCCCAAAGTATGTGAACAAGGCGGAAAAAGTTAAAAAACTAAAGATTTAATATTAAGATCGTGTGCACAGTGTGAATGGTGATATTTGCAGGCCCTGCAGCTCAAATGAGCTCTTCGCACTTGGCCTTGATCATGTTGAAGGTGACCGTGCCGACGCTTTGGGCGGCGTTGCTGAGCAGCTCGAAGATGTGGCGGTTGCGGTGGCCCTGGTCCACGGTGCGGTCGTGCAGGCGACGCAGTGCGTCCGCATAGGCCCTGTACTTGTCCTCGCACTCCGTGTCCAGCTTGAAGGTCTCGTAGAGCTGCTGCACATCGTACAGTTGTCGCGACACCTCGTCGTACAGGAGGCTGGGCGTCTGGGGGAGCAGCTGGGCCCAATGGTCGTGGACCAGTTCCAGGAACTCGAAGTTACTGAACAGGAAGATGACGAAGAGATCCAGACCCTTGGCCTTCAGTTTGGCCAGCAGGTGCTCGGTGAGGTGTTCACTTGCGGCCGAATCCCGCATCTCCTCATAGTCGGCGGTCAGGTGGCGCTCCAGATAGGCGTACACCCGTTGACGTTTCTCGAAGAAGTCCTGGGTGGCCAGCATGGCGTCCAGTTGCCGCAGCATGTGCTCCAGCTTGCCACTGCTCTCGGCCAGCTCCCCCTGGTCGTTCTCGATGATGTCCTGGAGAAGGGATCGCAATATCTGCAGGTAGTTGTTGATGATCTCGGCTCCGGACAACTTGATGCGCTCGTACAGCTGTGCCCCAAACTCATTGAGGTCCAGGCCAGTGGAGTTGCCCTCGGTTTTGGTAAGATTAAGCTGCTCCAAGGCTGCTCCGACCACCTGGTCGTTGATCAGGCGACTCCGGGAGGGAGCTCCCACCGTCGGACGTTCCAACTTTTGACAGAGGTGGTGCAATCGCATCTGCCGGATCTCCAGCGTGCTGGCATCCTGGGCCACCCGCAGCGAGGTCCTCAGTCGACTGAGGAAGACCAAGTTGCGCAGCACCGAAGTGCGTCTCAGATCCTTGTCCTGGTGCGGCTGAGCATCGAGCAACTGCTTGATTAGGGTCACCTTCGATTGCATCTTTGGTGTGCCACGGGCGGCACTCATCTCCACCGAGTAGTTGGCACTGCCAGGGTTTCGCTCCAGCTCCACCAGGTAGTCGTTGAGGCTCAGTTCGGCACGCTGCTCCAACTGCTCCACCAAATCCCGGAGGAACGTCAGCTGGAAGTCCTCCGCACTCAGGTCCGGCGCAACTGAAGCCTTCGCCCGAAGGAGCGGCAAGAGGCACAAGAAGGGCAGCCACCACATCTTACCAAGGGAAATGGTGACAACCGATTGATTGAAGAGCAGCCACTAAGTTAGTTAGCCGATCAAGTGAAGGGGTTTAGTTTGGGGTCAGTCGGTGATGCGGTTAGTAAGTCCGCCTGATAAGCCGATCAATGCTGACGATCTAATAATGTTACAGCTCAACTCGATGGCCTTATCGCTGAGAATTGTGCACTGGGAAAAATTTGGCACAGATCCAGTCCGGTCAAAATATAACCAATCTAGGTTTCAATGCCTTTCAATATATAAGTAAAAATGTGTTGCCTACCTTGCAGCTAATACTATACCATCTTAATCTTTTACTTCTCAGTTTTTACTTTAAAGTGCCTTAAATAAATGATTCCGAAACTCTTGCTGAGAAGTCATGGGAAATATCCGAATAAATAAGTTTCCATATTAAGTTTAAAGACATTGACTAGACAATGCATATGCGAAAGCAAACTATCATGGGCTTAATCATGATATTATTAAATAATAATGAAATTTGATCTATTGTTACTTACTTGAAATTAAGGCCAAAAAGATTTTGATTTTGAAATTGTTCTAGTAAAAACAAAAAGATCAAACAATTTTTTTTTTGTTTTTAATAGCATGATGAAAACTGTTTAGACAAGTGTTAATAGATTTTCAAAAAATCTTTTACATTAAAAAAAAAAACAATTTTAATTTTAATTTAAAATAAAGAAAAATTTACCATTAAAATAAGAAAAATATTAGTTATTTTGGTAGTTACTTAAAAAGAAAAAAACACTTTCTAGGTGTTTTAATTATAGAACCAGAAAGATCTACTTCAAATAGAGCAAATGTTTAGTTTCAAAAATCATTTTTTTATATTTTACCGCCAACAGACGTTGTAAGCTTAAAACCATATTTCTGAAATTGTTAAATTGTCTTATAATAAGTTATAATTTAACAAAATTAAAATAAAATAAACAATTCTTAAACAAAATTTTAAATTACAGTTATATTTGGTCACCCGGGATCCAACTAGATCAAGTTAATCGTTTATCGATAGCGCAACAGCATTAAAAGTCCATCTCTTTTAGCATGTCCCGGCATTTTCGGCCGATAGCGCGTGAATTTCTGTTTTGTAGTTTAGTTAATGCCAAATAGGAGATAACCAGATAGCCAGATAGCCATCCGAAGCCATGGCCGACAGTCCGATGTTCCCGATGAGCAACCGCAGTGGCCTGCTGCGCACCACCACACTGAACAACTCCCAGGCGCCGCAGAACCTGTCCCACTCGCTGCTCCTCCTGGAGCAGAGTAACGCGGCCCTGGAGGATCAATCGCTGGTCGAGGACGCCGGCGATGATCTGGATCGCGGCAAGAGTCGCGTGGACATCCTGTTCCCGCAGTTCTTCGACGTGCTGCAGGCGCAGACCGGCGGACCGGAGACCTTCGAGGTGATCCAATCCCTGACCCACGTCTGTCGCGGCGTCGTGGAGCAGCTGGAGCTGGAGATCGAGCGCGGCGTGGGCGGGACACAGGGCGCCCGGCAGCGCGAGTCCATCTTGGCATGGTTGCGCCAGGAGATCTACACGTGGCGCCTGCTGCACGCCCTCTTCTACGACCGCATCCTGCTGCAGTCCGACACGCAGGCAGACGACGAGATGCAGGAGGGCCCCACCCTCGGCGGCAGCGAGAAGGAGGTCATCCAGCAGCTGTACACCATCAATGCCACTCTGCGCGAGTACCAGCTGGTGGTCGACTGGCTGGAGGCCTGCTACAATCCGGGTGAGCAGCAGAATCCCCTCCACTGTCACGATCGCATGCTGGCCTGGGAGAACACACTGTTCCAGCTGGAGAATCTGCAGGGCGCCGCCTTTGGCAAGGGCCACGAGATCGTAACGCGTCTGGATCCCGATGCTCCCGTCCGCGAGAAGCGTCCATTGCACGCTCTCGACGAGGAGGACAACCTGCGCCTCTCGCGCGCCATCTTCTCGGCCATTCGCTCGGGACGCGTGGACGACGGACTGAAGCTGTGCAAGCACTACGGCCAGACCTGGCGAGCGGCCATCCTCGAAGGTTGGCGTCTGCACGAGGATCCCAATTTCGAGCAGAACGTGTCGGCGGTCCACGAAAAGCTGCCCATCGAGGGCAATCCGCGGCGGGACATCTGGAAGCGTTGCGCCTGGATGCTGGCCGATTCGAAGAACTACGATGAGTACAGCCGGGCCACGGCTGGCGTCTTCTCTGGTCACCTGGGCTCGCTGAAGTCGCTCCTGCACAGCAGCTGGCACGATTTGCTGTGGGCCCACCTCAAGGTCCAGATCGACATCCGCGTGGAGTCCGAGATACGTGGCTGCTGCCTGAAGCGCTACCAGCCCATGCCGGACGATTACTGGAACGGCAAGATGACCATGGAGCAAATCTTCGACGAGCTGAACGTGGCCAAGGATGCGTCGGTGCGCGACTTCGCCCAGGGCCATCTGGGCATCATCCAGCGGCACTTGATCCTGGACACCTGCGGTGAACTGTTGCAGCAGATGGGACGTTGGGTGGAGAAGGACGCTGCCCCATTGTCGCCCCACCAATTGCGCTTCATGGCCCACATTGTGCTCTTCCTGCGCCAAATTGGACGCGTGGAGCAGGAGCAGCAGGCGGAGAAGATCATCGCCGCGTATGTGGAGGCCTTGATGGCGAGGGGAGAACCCCAGCTGATAGCCTACTACGCTGCAGCGCTGTCCAATCCGCTGCAGGTGAAGCTATACTCGCGGTTCCTCGAGCAGGTGGAGCAGAAGCGTCAGAGGGAACTGGCGCTGGATGCCGCCTTGCAAGCAGGTCTGGATGTGGAACAGATTACCCGTATCACCGTGGAGAACATTCGCTCCATTCGACATGCACCTGGCAAATTCGGTGAGCCGCCCTCGGGTGAGATCTCCGTGGCGGAGCAGCGCAAGATCTCCGCCCTGGAGTGGCTCCTCCATCTGCCGGAGCAGCGAGGCGAGCTGCTGTGGCAGGCGAATGCCATGATGCGCATCTACCTGGCCTGCAGCAAGGTGGAATGCATGCGCCAGACCTTCCGCATGGTGCCCGGCGACATTGTGCAGCAGATCATGGGCCTGTACAGCTCGGTGGACAACATTCCGCCGCGAGAGGAGTGCTGCCTGAAGGAGTACCTCTGCTACAAGGTGTACTTGTCCGGCGTGGACAGCTTCGTGGAGTGGAACCGCCTGCAGCAGAACAGGCCAAAGAAGCCGCAGCCAGGAGCCACTGCCTCCTCACAGGATAACTTCACGGAGCGCATGGCTAGTGAGCGGAAGGAGCAGACCCACCGAACGGAAGTCCTGCGCTGGGAGCACAAGGTCAAGGAGCAGGCCAAGCGTAAGTATATTTTATATTTTGATAGTATTATCATAAAATAATACATTGAGTTTTGAGGATCAAAGTTAATTTTAAATGCTTTAAAAAGTCACTAAACTGATGGAAAGTATTTTCGAGTGGGGATTTTAAGTTTTTAAAATATTCTTAAAAAATAAATAATGTGAAAATATGTTTATAGACAGGGATAAAAGGAAAATTTGTTGGGATAGTTATAAAAGTAGGAAGTTAATTGTACTCAATTTTATTCCTTAATCATTTTCTTTTGCAAATGCGGAGAAACGAAATTGATTTTAGGTTCAATAATTATCTTGGAAATACTGTTTAAAATTCTTAATTGGCTGGGTTCCTTTAAGAATTTTCAATTTTGCAACCATTTATAAACCAAATTATTTGTTTTCCCGCAGAAACCATCGAAACACTGTACAATGTGCTGATGTTCCCGGACAAGGGATGGCTAGTGGATCCGTTCATCGCCAAGCAACCCGAGAATGCCGCGCAACTGAACTGGGAGAACCGCCTGCTGCAGATGGAGAAGCTGCGCTCCATCTGCCTGCCCGAGATTGCCCTGCTGCTGAACGAGGTCATGTTCAAGTCTGGGGATTTTGCGGGCTGTGTGCGCCTGGCGGACGAGATATCCAGCGAAAGCCGTCAGCTGTACAAGGTCTACACCAAGCACAAGCTGGCCGAGCTGCTGGCCAAGATTGCCAACGCATCGCTGGAGCTGCTCAACACGAAGCTGGATCCCTGGGGCTACCCCATCACAGTCTAATGTGTGTGGGTGTGTGTGTGTTTTTTGCGATTACATTCTAAATTTAAACGTTTATTATTTATGCACTGTTCACTTACAAAACTAACGAGCGGAAAAGGGGAGGAGGGTTTTACGAGTTGTTGTCCACTGCAGCGGCGTTGTTCTCCTCGCACCCGTTGCTGTGCTTCAGCAGGTAGGAGGCCAGAAACTGGATCGGATCCGTGGGCCTCTCGCGGGCCAGCGCCTGCAGTCCGTGAAGCAGAACCGGCGCCACCGTCTGGTCCAGGTACTGTCGCGTGGGCATCGAGCTTGTCTCGCCACTGGTCTTCTTGGCCGTCGGCTGTTGCTGTTGTTGCGCTGCCGGCGTGGACTGGCCAGCGGTGGCTGCGGATGCAGTTGCTCCCGGCGCGGCTGCCGAATTGGCCTGCGTGTTGTTGGTGCAATTCTGCTCCTTGGCGGAGTCTGGCGTCGGATTTGGTGTCGGTGCCGGGGAGATGGGAGCGTCGGTTTTGGCCTCCATGGCTATGTTTATCTGGGGCTCAACAAATCTCGGTTTTTGCTACTGGCGTCTCTATTTGAGTCCAATAATTCGATGCCTCAAAATTTACATTCTCCGGTACCAGAATAGGGTTGCCAAATGCAATTCGGAAATCGATTGTCTCCAGTTGAACAACGCCGATATATCGATTGCTAGTCATTTTTTTGCCTGCATACACAATTTTCACACATTTGCGGTACTCCTTTGCAAGGCATAAAAATTGGACAAATTACGAAAATTTAATTCAAGTAAGTAGTACACAAAACAATATAAAAAATTTTACCAAATTAAATAATTTAATTGATCTGAATAATATCTTATTCATACAAAGTTCTCTTAAATGTTTTCTTATCATGCATATGCAGTTTATTTTTCAAATAAAAGCCAATTTGTATGTTAAAATTTGTATTTGACTTAATTATCGTATAATATTAATTATATTTTGTATTGTTTTTTTTTCATATATAAATTAAATGAAAGGAATCGAGTTTATTTTAAATTGTCAAGTGACAACATGCTAAAATACTTTGTCACGCCTGTGACTCGATAACAAAAAGGGGCAATCGCTATCGGGTGAAAAATCGATTGTCATCCCCAATTGAGCCAATTGGTTCATCTGCAGCTGAAAATTAGACCGAAAAAGTAGGAAATTTTCACAGATCAATTAAAACATGACGGAGCTGCTGATCGATCCGGACATCCGCGTGTGGGTGTTCCTGCCCATCGTGCTGATCACGTTCCTGGTGGGCATTGTGCGCCACTACGTCTCCATTCTGATATCCACACAGAAGAAGGCCGAGATCACCCAGATCCAGGACAGGTAAGAGAACCCCACTGCCGTCCAAAGGGCATTGGAGCAGCCTCTTTGATAAATTAATCTCACCCACAGCCAGGCGATGATCCGGGCGCGTCTTCTGCGCGAGAACGGCAAGTATCTGAGTGCCCAGAGCTTCTCCATGCGGAAGAACTACTTCAACAACGAGGAGACCGGCTACTTTAAGACCCAGAAGCGGGCGCCCGTGGCCCAGAACTCATCCGCCATGCTCACCGACATGGTCAAGGGCAACTTCATCAACGTCCTGCCCATGGTGGTGATCGGCGGCTGGATCAACTGGATGTTCTCGGGCTTCGTCACCACCAAAGTGCCCTTCCCGCTCACCCTGCGCTTCAAGCCCATGCTGCAGCGGGGCGTGGAGCTGGCCTCCCTGGACGCCGCCTGGGTCTCCTCGGCCTCCTGGTACTTCCTCAACGTGTTCGGCCTGCGCTCCATCTACACGCTGGTCCTCGGCGAGAACAACCATGCCGACCAGACGCAGGCCCAGGCGGACGCCATGACCGGCGCCGCCATGACCATGCCCCAGGACCCCAAGGCGGCCTTCAAGGCCGAGTGGGAGGCGCTGGAGATCACCGAGTACCACAACGCCCTCAAGAACATTGACGCGGACATGCTGACCATCGCCAGCGCTGCCACGGACAAGAGTCCCTGAGTGACCAGGCCTGCGGGCCCATTCTAATTAAGATATTTTAGCAAATTCACAATGTAACAAAGAACATTTTGTTTTAGAGTCCAAGAGGGTTAATAAATAAAGCAAGTTGTGTGTCTATGAAAGGCAGTTCTTTAGCGCGTTCTGTTTCGATCCTAACTAATATTTATCAATAGTTAAACCAAATAATGCAGAGCTTATTAAAGCAATCCCCCAGATCCTTAGTCCTTATTGCTTATTGTGTCCTATAACACTTCAAAACTGAACTAAAGAGAACTCAAATTTGGCAAGAAATTAATTCCAAGTGACCAGAAAAAGAAAACAACTGAGATAAAGGGAGCTCATAGCCTCTATGACTGGAAATTTAAGAGATGTTCACTTTCCACTCCCAGTCGCGCATCAACTGATAAAAAGTAACAACGAATAGGAACAATAACTTAGTAGTAGGCCTCTTCGGTGGCCTCCGTTTGCGGGGCTGGCTCCTCGGCGGCGGGCTCTGGTGGAGCGGAAACTGGCGGCGACGGAGCCTTCTGCAGAACGGGCGGCGAAGGAGACTTCTGCAGCATGGGCTCCGGCTCGCTGGGAACGTCTGTGGGGGGACCTGCGGTATCCTGCTCGGTGTCCTTCGACGGACCCTTCTCGCCACGGGCCGTGTTCAGGGGCGACGGAGGACGGGCGGTGGCCTGCACCTTGAACTGCTTCTCCGGCTTCTTGAGGTCCTTGGGCTTGCCCATCAGGCGGTAGTCGTTGGGCAACTCCGCCTCCGTGTAGAGCTTGTCGGCAAAGTAAATGCGCCGGATGCGCACGTTGGCATGCAGCTGCAGGGATACGGTCTCCAGATAGTTGGACCCATATGCCCGACGCGTGAAGTCGGCGAGATTGAATTGGATTTGATTCCAGCCCGGCGACATGCCCATGGGCATGGCCGTGCAGAAGGGCTTCACGGAGGTCTTGCTCTGGAAATTGGACACCCGGAAGCGACGCATGAAGCGCTGATCGTCTTGAATCTGTAGTTGAAATAGGGTTTATCCCATCAAGAGATACATCTACCTGAACCAACCTTAACTTCGAAGCAAAAGTACTTGTGCATGTTCTTGATGAGGAGCACCAGGAAGGGCAGCTTGATGCCCAGCTGCTCCTTGCACTCGCTGGGGCAGTGTATAAAAGTGGTGGACACATTCGAGCCCATGATCTCGAGCACCAGAGACTTGATGTCCTCATCGTAGATGCGTTTGATGTAGCCGTTCTTGGTCTGCCCGAGGAATCATTCTAGCGATACAGAGACGTTTGAACTTTAGATACTCACATAGGACGACCAGTTGGCCAGAGGTGAGCTGCCCACGCTGTAGAGGACGGTGAGGAAACCTTTCTGGTAGGCTGAACGAAACATTGTCGTCGATTGTATTTGATTGAACTGTGTGTGTCTGGTTTATAGGATCAGGCTACGCACCAAGTCCCAATGTGACTGATGTGAAAGGGCAAGCTTAAACTAAACTATATATTAATTGTAAAAGGGATTGTAGGTGACCCAGTGGGCGCGCTCCTGGTCCTTCTCGGTCTTGTGGGTTGTGAAAAGCGATTTGTACACGTCGCTGGCCTTGGGATCCTTGGCCACGCTGAACTCGCTCTTGAGACGCTTCAGTTCGGGATCCTGCATGGCATTGACGGCACCCAGTCGCTTGAGCGGAGCCACCGCCTTGACTTTCGAGCTTGTGGTGGGCTTCTCCGGCGCAGCAGACTTTGATGTGGAGGCCACTGGCTCTTGGGACTCCTCGGGCTCAGCTTTAACTTGCACCTTGTTGGCCCCCTTCTTCTCCTTCTTCGAGGACTTGCGCTTGGCTGCCCGCATTTCCATTTTGACCCGCATCAGCTCGAGGTCCTCGTCGTTGCCGTTGAGCACCACCACGTCCTCGACGCTGTAGGGTGTCTGGCACAGCGGACAAGTGCTGGCAGCGCTGCCCTTGATCTGCTTCAAGGCCCGCTCGGACACTACGCATCCGCAGCTCCACAGAGCCACGAAACGGAACTTGCCGGACATCTCGAGGCCAATCAGCTTGCAGATGTAGGGAGCGTGACGGGCGTCCAGCAGACCCTCGGTCTTGTCCTCCTCCGTGAAGGCGGGATTAGGGGTCGGCTGCAGCTGGCGGATGTCCTTCATGCTCTTCACGTGCGCCGCCGTCTCCGGCATCGGCTCCTTCTCCAGCAGCCGCTCGATCACGCTCTGCTTGGAGTACAGCCTGCCCATGCCGCACATGGCGATCGGCTCCTGAAGGCGCTGCTGGGTCAGGGTGCAGTGGCGCCACCGAAACTCCCTCTCCGCATCCTTGTCTTTCTGCAGGATAAAAAAATTGGGGAGTTAGTCTGGATAGGGCAACACCTCCAGTTTAAGTCCATTACCTGTTCGGGCTTTTGCTTCACGCGCACCAGCTCATCGCGCCTGGGAATGGTTCCGCCATCGCATCCCATTATTTAGTTTGGAATTTATTAAAGATTTCCAAGCCAAGATTTGCTTTGTGGGACAGTTGGCATCTGAAATGTGCATCTTTGTATTTAAGTAATTCTGTTGTTTCTGAGCTAAACGTTGACTACTCACACAAAATAACCAACAAATCTTTACAATTTAATGCCTCTATCTACCAATTAACTGTAAACGACGTTGTTAATCACAAATTTTTATTTATTTATATATTGCTCATAGAGATGGGGAAACTAAAACATCGATAACAACGATTTTAATATGCTATGCCAATCGATGGCTACTTACTTTTTGGCATATCGCCAAGTCGATATTTATAGGAAATATATTTGAATTTTGGTATTTTGCAATAAAGTTTTGAATCGAAAGAGTAATTCGGTTTTCCCAAGGAAATGTCTATATATAAATTATATGAGCAATTTCTCGAATCCTTTTTTTTATATTTTGATACATTTTATAAATGTCTTTAGATCGAGACGTGTCTTTGTGTTTCAAATTAATTAATTAACAACGAAAAGTCCCAAAAAAAAATTATAATTGAATTTATTATCAATAGTTCTATTATAGAATTACAACCTATTGAAAACCAGCTCCTACGCGTCCGTGAAGGGGCAGTGCTTGGCATACGGCACGTCTATGCAAATACATCCTCGGGCGCTTAAAAGGTCAGGGTTTAAGGTCAAAAGAAGGTCGATTTAATGTTTCATTAAGCACTTACTCATCGGGGGCGTCGTTGCCTATGTGGTACTCCCTCAGCAGCGAGGCGAACTCGAATGGATTGGTTTTCCCGCTGACAGGCAGCCGCTTTGGACCACTGAGATGCAGGCAGCCGTTGGGACAAGGAACACCCATGAACTTTTTATGCTTGAAAGTGGCCGTTGCCAAGTAGCAGATGCTCAGAAAGTGCGAGCAGCGGGACCTTCCTGCGGGATAGCAGACATACAAATTTTTATTTAATATTATTTTACCCACAATATTATGTCAATAATCTAGGCAAAACAATATAGGTTTACACAATAATCGATGGCAGCGCCATTAAAGGAGTACCATAATATTCAATTTCTATGCGCGCATGTGAAATAACAATGAAGTAATGTCGAATTTTTAATAAACTGTAGAATATGACAAAGTCTTATTTAAATGAAAATATTTGTATTTAATCGTAGAATCGTAGGCCATATGCGTAACTTTTAACCAACCAAAGAAGTAATGCTCATTTTCCAATTATTTTCCTATTTCTTTTGACTGAAATTATAATACCCCAAGTTGATATCAAGCTTATGTCCAATGCAAACTTATATACTTTTATGCAGCTCTTACTGATGGGATTCCCCTTGCAAAAGGGCTGAATGCGTCCTCCGTTGACGCAGTAGTTGAGGTGCCCGGTGTTGTCCTCCTGTCCCAGGAATCCGGCGTTGGTGTGGATCACCTGGATGACGTTGGCGTCGTCTAGCGACAGCCGGAAGGTGTTGCTCTTCTTGCGCTCGATTAGGGGTCGTGCGGGGTCCAGGCCGATGATGCGGTACTGCTTCCGCGTGAGGTGGTTGCTGATCATGCCGCAGATGTGGGCGCCCAGCGAGTGGCCCACGCAGGTGATCCGTTCCCGCACCGCTCCGTAGTGGGTGAGGAAGGCGTAGATCTGGGCGGTGCACTGCGCCGTAAGCCTGGTGTTGATCAGCGAGTGCAAATAGCACGGATAGCGGGTCAGGGGTCGCCAGTCCACGGTAATGACATTAAAGTCGCGAGACAAGTAAGCTGAAAGAGCCAAATAGATTTATAAGTTTGATGAGCTAATGGCAAAAAATAAGATAATAATAATGAACAAAATTTTAACACACAGGGATCAATAAAAAAACGATACACCCAAACGACCAAACGATACACTCAGATAAAAAAGCCACATAGTACAATAAAAATAAACATTAAAATATTTGAATATTACATTATTTTCAATACATAAACTTACTTAAAATAAACTCTTCTTATTTAGTTTCTATGATAATTCTTTTTGGATGTAGTGGATTTTAAACTCACAAAAAAAAAGTAAGTCTACAGCGTTACATAAAAAGATCAAGATAGCTTTATTAAACCTTTTGTATACATTCTGTTCTTAATGATAGCATAAGTAAGTAAATTAAGACAACAAAACGACAAAATACACAAGTTTCTGGTACAAAAAATGTTATCTTGCAGATTAAACAACTTCTAACAATTTACAAGTTTGCAGCTTATTTATCGGATATTTGCATTCGAATAGTAAAAAAGTAGTATAAGTAACTTGCGAAAATTTTATTTTAGTTTTTGTTAAATAACAAATCAAAGAGCGTATCTACTTTACCATCCCTAAGAAATTGCAGATGAATGTCGATGGCGGTTCCATTAAATCCGTGAATTATGAAGACCGTTTCGCGTTGCTTGCTGAAACCACCTTTATAAAGGGTAATTGGGTTCTTGACATTTAACGTAATTCCTCGACGGGGCCCATTGCTAAAAAGAAATTAAGATTTAGGCTAATTAATTAAAACATGAAAGAAAGCAAACTATGGATATATATGACATATATACTATGTATTTATACTTCATACATATACATACTTTCATCTGAAATAACAACACTCTGGTATTAACATATGCATGCATACCATATAACCTTATTTTATTAGTGAGCTCATATTTAATGTCTTTATAGGTACGTTAACCTTATTTTCATTGAAATCTCTCTGCTGATATGGCCGTATTGAAATGCGATAATTGTGCGCAAGTATCTCATCGTCGTTAGTACATGCTTTTCGCTTAAATGGAACGACCGGCATTTCATGTGGCTATACAACCGGAGAAACCTCTCGTGCGGCAAGCGATCTAAAGCCAGAACATGACCACTCAAGTGGTCTTTATTTGGCTTCTCTTAGCTCTTATTTTCCATTGCAATTTGGACAAAAAGTGCGTTTCTGTTTATATTGAATAGGGACATATTTAGATAGTTTCCATCGACCACCCTGTTGATTCCAATAAAAAATGTTCATATACATTCTTTCTATGATCGAAACTTTCAAGTTAAACAAATAGTAATATATATGTTTAGAGCCAATGAAAAAAACTAAACCAGTTCTAAGCAAATGATTTAAAAGTGGTCTCCATGAGTCTAAAACAAGATTAAATTCTTGCAGAAGGCGATGTGTGAGCCACTTGGTTGTGTTTTAAGAACGGAGGTGTCAGTCCGGTAATTTTCCGCTGTTATACAACCATCAATCAGCAGTCTCTTAAACGCTGGCCATCATGTAATCCCCTCAGCCGTACAATGTAACCAAAACAATTACCCGGCTGCTTTCCAAAAATGGACTTCATCTTCGGAGTTCGAGGTGATTTTGGCCAGACAAGTTAAGCAACTACCAATGAGTCGTTTGTAAAGCATTTTATTGACCAATTGGCCATTGCAATCGATGTCATCGCTGGCCAAACTTGGCGGTCAATGCGGTAAAACTGGCCTTCTTTGGCGGGAGCATCTCATCATTTGTGGGTCAGTGGCTCTGGTTTCTATAAACGAGTTGCTCGCCCATTGATTGCACTCTTGTTTTTCGGTTTCTGCCAGCAGCAATATCCTTGTGGTTGCACAAGTGCGGTGCGAAAAGTGTTTCGGCAGATGGCACACTAACCGAGTGAGCGAATCCAGTTGCCTAACACTAACTAACACGAGAGGAACTTTCTCCCCCGCCCAGCGGCTAGCATAAATCATCACCGAAATTGGCAAACTCGCTGCACAGAGAAAACCCAATTCTTTTACATGATCAAAAAAGTCTAAGAGAAAATTCTATTCATGTTTGAAAAAGATTTTTTTACTTAAGATATGAAAAAATCAAATTTATTGTGTGTCTATAAATTTATAAGTCAATGAATTTTTTAATTAAAGAACTATAAAAACGATCAAAATGAACCACTGTGTATTTCAGCAAATATTTAAATATTGAAAAACAGTGACTAAAAAATGATTAGAAAAAAATTCCTTATTGCGCACCATTGTTTATATGTTCAGTTGAAATGTATTTACTTATTTACTTGTTACTATTTAAATATAGCATTTCTAAACGTTTTATGTCGGATCACAATATTTAAGTGAGCTATTAAATTGAACAAATGAAAGTTAAAATCAATCCTGACTAAAAATTATAACCATAATGCATAAAAACTTACAATAATTTTTCTTTGTGTATTTTACAAAATTGCTTATGAGTTTATGGAACTTTTCACTTCTTCAACTTTATCTTGATTCATCAAGAAGAGAAATTTACTTTGGAATTTCGGGACATAAAATTAAAGTTGAATTATTTCGGCACGTTTTTAAAAACTTTGTTCATTATACCATGAAATGGACAGCTTGTAGAATTCAGTCAAACTTACGGAGCGTACAGTCGGTGATCGATATGAGGACTGGGACAGAAGTTTTTGTCGCGCAGAAAGCAACGCAAGACATTTAAATCCAAGGCTCCACTGTTGCGCAGATTCTTCCAATCCGTTTTGCTTAGCAGCAATGTTTTTGCATCTGCAATTGTATTTTATGTGGTCTTTAATTCTTAGACCTATTTTCGACATTTTTCCAATAAGGTGTGGAAAAACAATATTGGAAAAAATTAAAAGACTTTAACGTGGACTTTTTATTTTTTAAATCACTATTATTTAATTTGATCAATATATTTTATTGTATTAATATACCTTTGGCAAAGAAGGAGAATATGCAAAAAACGAGGAGATGTTTCATTGTTATTTGGAATTCGAAGTTTGAATCTTAATTTAATATTTTATAAAGAAATTTGTAGTTTTCCAGATAAGAATATTCAGTGCACAAACATATTAAATATTTTGAAAATTGTTATTTTGTTATTTTAATTCACATTTCCTTAATTATTTAAATTATAATGGATTAGGTAAATATTTTATTGTTTTATTATTATTATTATTATTATTATTATTATTATTATTATTATTATTATTATTATTATTATTATTATTATTATTATTATTATTATTATTATTATTATTATTATTATTATTATTATTATTAATATTATTATTATTATTATTATTATTATTATTATTATTATTATTATTATTTTTGTCTTATTTGTTTAAAATTATTTCGTTATCCACAATTTTACTTGAAGTCAGCATTCAATTTTGATTTGGTAACATTTTTAGCAAAATTGAAATTATTTTTTCAGCGGCTTGTGAGTAAAACAAAACATGATTGTGAAATTTGTGTTTCGTTGATCCAGTTTTTATTTTTTGACTTAATTTCCTCCAGGACATATGGCTTTCCTTATCGCGAATTTAGTTTGCCTTTCACATATTCCGTATATATTTAAACCAGATTCCACTCCGTTTTTCCGTTTAAATTGACAACTGGTACTCCGATCACATGGTTTTTAATTGATATCCGTTTTTTTCTGCCAAGCGGTTTCATCGTAATCCTTTGCATTAAATTCAGCTATTTTTTTGCGAGCAATCCGCGCCACGTCTTGCAGTTTCGCGCTGTGCGCTGCAAATGCGCTGCAAAAGCGCGAAATGCGCGACCAAGGAAAATGCAGCGATTGCAACGGTAGCAGCAACACCTAAAAGCAGCAACATTAGCAAGAGCAGCAACAGCAGCAGCAGCAGCAGGAGCGGAAAAAAACTGGCCAAAGAATGGCTCAGCCCACCGCCTGTTGCCTTGACTTTGTATTACTCCGACTTCAAACGTGAACGACTTCGGCAAATATATAATGTTGCTGCTGTTTTTGCTTTATTGTTGCTGCAATTGCTGTTGGTGTTGCTGCTGTGTCTGCCTGGCGACGTCTTTGAAATGAAAATTCATGGCACACGCAACGCTGCACTGATTTTGATTATGAGTTTTGACTTGAAAATGGGTGCTTTCGGTTTCGTTTTCCAACTCAATGCCGTTGCCTTTTTCATGGTGTCTGCGGTTTGTAATTCGTCTGCTTATTATGCTTATTATTTACATAACATTCGAATCCGAATGCAAATTCTTATAATTTTCCCTGACGACATTTGCGTAGTTTGTTTCCTAAGTCATTCGTTTTTGCCCAAGCACTAGTAAAAAATAAAGGTTATCGGGCTTGCATCTTTTTTGTGACTTTCTAGCCTTTCATATTGCCTTTGTTTTTGGTGGTTCAAGGACAGAAAAAGGAAAGGTCTAAAATCAGGGATCAACAGCGGTCATTTATCATGTCCATCTGGGGCTCCAGAAAAGTGAAAGATTGGAATGTTTGTATAGGCTTGCGTGGTGCGATTGCTAATATTTTAAAATAAATTCGATTCAATGGAATAACTTAAAATCGACTTGTAAACAAAACGGCGCAATCGTGCACAGAAAAGTTTTAGATTTCTTTAAAGTTTTAATAAAATAAATATTGATCTTCATTTGATCTTATATAGTGGCTTTAATCATATCAAATATTATTGTACATCCACGCAATTATTCTAAGTCAAAAACATTTGCTTTAAAAGTATCTCAATTAATAAACAGCTAACGTATGATTTAAATGATAACATTCTTGGCATAAGAAGAGTCTTTTTTTTTGTAACTAACGCTTGTTGTTTATAACCTTTTGCACTTTAAAATTACCACTTTACTTACCTTGTAAAGAGCTGGAATTCTATATATTGCTTGGGACATGTTTCCCACAATAATATGTGACAGTTTAGTGGATTCAAGTCGAAATTTCCATTGCGAAACAAGAATTGCAGGGCCTCTCTGTGATATTTGGCTATAAAAAAGGAAACCAGCTTAGCACACAAATCACACTTCTTATCGGCGACGAGATCATCCCACTTACACGCGTTCGTGAGCGGATCCAGGGAAAGTAAAGATAACAACAATACGATAACGCGGGTCAACATTTTGGCCAAATGCACTCCGCATTTAAATTGGTATCACCGAGGAGAGTCAGGCACATCGGGTTAAATGGAAGGCGTTTAATTGAATGAGCCATTCGGATCGCCTACTGCTTAACTGCGGAGCAAAGAGCTTTTAAAAGCTGCATCCGCACAAGAAAATGGAAAACGAATGAAAATCTCCTAAAATTGACACTCACGAACGACCCGAGTTGGGTGACATTGCTTGTGGGGAGCTGCCAAGTGGTTGTTTTCATATTTCGGTCTCATGTGCACAGAAGCTGCGTGTAACCGAAGCCCCGATTTCCATATGGCCAGGTACACTGCAAGAAATTATATATATAATATTAATAATATCTTAAAAGAACGTAAAAGTTTTAAAAACTAGAAGTAATACTTTTCAAATGACTATGGTAAAGATTTTTTAGAAGACTTTGAACTATATTTAACAGATTTTTGTTAAATCAAATAATTTTAAATAATATACATCTTAAAACGGTTTTTTTTCCAAATTTTTCAAAAAGCATTGTCAATATACGTATGTTAGCAGACAGTACTTAAAAAGCCATTTTATATTAAAAAAAATTTTTTTAAGTTAAAATATTTGTTAGCGTTAGTTAATTAATTAAATTATTATTGATATCGGATACTTTTTAAAGTTGGATTAAAAGCAACATTTCAAGCAAGTTTGAGAGCAAATTAAAATGATTAATTATGAATAATAAGAATTTCTTGTGGTGTAATATCTTAAAGATTACTTATGTGTTTGGGTTTCGCAATTGTCTATAAGTTTCAAACGCCTATTGATTGCCACATGGGGCCACCTGCAGGCTGCTGCATTGTCCACAGCAATAAAGAACACTAATAATTAAAAAAGCTTCCCCTTAGATAGCAGTAAAATAAATTGGGAAACAAATTGAATGGCTACCAACATTTATGGCAATGATCTTAGCTGAGTTAAACGTTATCACGCCACATTTCCTTTCAAAATTTGATAAATGGTCAATTACTATGAGTTTGAAAAATCATTATCAAAATGGAGTGGTATTTTACAAATTTAATAGACCAACAATTACTAAGAGTTTTTTACATCGTTGTTAAAATGGAGTGGTACTAAGTATTTCTGCATAATAGAACTTGACCATTATTAAAGCTCCAACTTTTAGGGGTCAAATGAGGCTAGTGAACTTTACCTTTTGGTCCACTTTAAAAGTTAGCCCAAATTATTTTTGTACACCTTAAACAAAACAATTGCCAGAGGGAAACAGATCTCAGTTGCGGAAAACAACAGACCAGGCCCAAAATGACATCAAACGTTTTTTCTACCGGCAGACAACGATTTTCCAAACGAAAGTAAACATGGTTGGGTCTGCGGCTAATGCATCTAATTGAAAGTAATGAGCTCGTTGGCCTACAACACCGCAAAACGGGGCTAAAGTCAACTGGAGGCAGCAAAAACGTTTTCATGGGTTTACTAAAGCCAAAAGAAGGAAAAATATAATGCAAATGAAAACGAAATGGTACAGTGGAGAGAAAAAATAACTATGTTCACAGCAATTGTTTCCCTCTATTCACGATTAGTACTCTATATGCTATGGTTATATGAAATTTAATTTGCTTTTAATATTTATGTGAATCATAAGATGTGTAGTGCTTCTTAAAAATATATTTTGTTTCCATAATTTAAACCTTTAGTTGTTTTTATGATTCAAGTCTATTTATTAATGTTTATTTTAGACTGCAGTTGTTGGTTAATTTTTCCGAAAGAGAACCAGTATTTCGGCATCGCTCATTTCTTCCCTTTCCCTTATTGAGGTTTTCATTTGTTTTTCACGGTTTCAGGTCTCAGCCAATCTGCTGTTACTGTCTACTTGTTCATTTGATGTAATGTTTTGAATTGTTCATTCATCTGGATGTGGTTGACGAAGAATAAGTGCCAATTGCATAACATTTTCCCAAGTTGTAGTCATAGGAACCAGCTTACATTCACACCTCGATTTTATCCGTTGCTATTGTATTGAAGCTTATATCGTCCCTATTAATTGGTATTCCAATTATGATCGGAATCTGTATAACTGACTTAATTGTAACACGAAGGAAACGTGTTGCAATTGGATGCCAAATCAAAGCGAAACATTTTCAACAGTTTTAAATATCACATAGGCTAACAATAAATTAGTTAACTAATTTAATGATTTTTGCTTTTTGTTTTGGAAATTACACTCATTTCAAGTTAATTGACCATGACCAATTTTGGCTTATTTCGCACATTTGTATTTTTCTTTTTTAATGCAGTTTAAATTTCTCATAAAGCTTGATAAGTTATGGGGCGTAACGTCGGTTGGAAGTTTCCGTAAAATATTCACAGGAGAGATATGACGGTAAAAGTTAATAGTTAAAACACACAGAGCACTGTAAATTCTAAGATAATTTAAAATGGTTTTCGTTAAAGATACATTTTTGAAGGCTCTTTAAAATTTTGACGGATTAATCCAAATACATGGTCATGGTCACAGAATTTCGGATTCGGATTTCGGATTTATACTATTATATATGTGGTGTTTAAAGTCGATTACTCAATTTATAAGCATCTTTTCATTTAATTTGTGTAAATATTTTTGACCACCCCGAATTTCGCAAAGCCTTTAACGTTGAGAATGACTCGAATTTACGCGCCTTTTCTAAAGGAAAAACTTAAATGTCTATGCTAATTTATTTTTCTGAATCTATATTAATAAGTCACCTGGTAACGTATGTAGATAAGTCTTAATTTACAGTTTTATTTTACCATTTTATTAATGCACTAACGTACAAAGATGGCATAACTGAGCAAGCAGTATATGGTTTTGTTGCCTACTAAATGTTGGTACAGAAAGCTTATCGACTTTCCATACCAAACTCAGCGAGCTTTTTGTGAAAAATCATTTCTAAAATAGCCTTAGCACTTGATATGGTTATGTTTTCTGCTGGTTAATAATCTTATTTAAGAAGTATTTTTATATATTTCTTTGAGTTCCCCTTTTTTATTTCACAAAAGAGAGAAATATTGAGATGAATGCGTTTTTGTACCTTAATAAGTGTAATCATAATATTTATAAAAGTCTTTTAAAATATAGGTCTTGCCATGTAGTGGATTTATGAAAACCCTACCATTTTACATATAACCCGTTTGGTTGTCGTTAATAAAACCTCGAAAGTTCGAAAGTTATTTGAAACTTTGTTTAAGATTCAATTAATAAACTTGAAAAACTGACTCACTGTTATTTTCCGTCAAAGCCCCACCGTTTTGTTTTTCTAATGCAAGGCTAATTCCAATTTCAATTTAATTTACTCTTGAGCAATTGTATAAGCTTCCCCCAAATGGCGAAATCAAGTTTAGATTCTTTTGAATCGGCTCATTTCTTATGCAAGTCGCAATCAATTTTCAATTTCTTGCCTACACTCGACAAACTCCTTGGAAAATAATCAGAAGGCTTTGCATACTTACAGATAGTTTTAGAACTGGGGCCAACTTACGATGCGAGTCTAATCAAAATGGGCCATAAATTCCGGGAATGCGGAGAACGAGTGGAAAATTGCGTTGAGCTTTGTTTTTGCTTCGCCTTCTGCTTTGGCCCAACTTTACTAATTAATTGTGCACTTGAGAATTTTTGAGCAAACTCTGAAACTTAGCTGCTACGGCAAAAAGATCCATTGGGAATGGCGGGAAGAGTGTGTGAGGTGTTTGGCACTGGCAAAGTTGACGAGTAAATAAACTAACAATTTTTCCTACTTAATTAACAAAATTGTTTTAATACTCCATCTCCATCTCTAGGTTCTCGACGGAGCTGCCAAGTGAGGCGTTAAGCGACGGCGATGCTGTCAACATTGGCAGACTGACTGAATGACAGACTGGCTAAATGACTGCGCAAACAAACCCCAAGTACGGCGGGCACTGGATGGAGTACGGCAATAATTAAACTTGTCACAGTACACTTTGCAGTGCAATCGGAGTCGGGCCAAAAGGATGGCGAACTCGACTTAGAAGGATGGCAGCTATGAGCACAAAACTCATAACTATGTGCCATGAAAGCGCTTGCGATGCTCTGTATTTGTTTATACACATTATAACCAAATGAGTTTTTTATACTTGGTAGATAAATGCAATTGCTATCTGTCAACACGCAAAAAATCAGTTTTGGAAGTGGTGCACAGAGTTTTTAGTATCCCATAGTAGAGTAAATTTTGAAACAACATAAAAAAAAAAAAATAAAATATTTTCTCTGTTTCTAAAATGTATGTTATATCGAAAAATGTGTATGTTTGTGTCTCAAGTCCAAAAAATATAATAAAATTCTTTGAAATACATATAACATAGAGAACTGAGGGCGTACCACAAAAGAAAGCATTTCCATTTTATTGCAAATAACATTCGGATTAACATATAAAGCAACTTTTGCAATATCGAATGCATTGGATTGGCAATTCGTTTGCGTGCTGGCCACTTGGCCACTTGGCTCAACAATAAATTGCAAGTTTTGGAAAAGTGCAGCGCATAGCTTATGAATTGCATTACAAAGTCGCATAAATTTTCGCATTCGCATTGCGCCAAAGTACGCGCAACAAATCGTTTTGGCGCCGAAATGCATTTATCATCAGCAGAAACTCGCGTTCATTGCGCAAATTCAATCTGATGTCGGGAAACGCTAGAATTATGAGCTCAGCCTCAGTTCAGCGGTTTTCCAGAAATGGTGCTGTAGGTGGTGATGTGGGTGCTTTGGGTGGTCCAGCAGGTTTGGGTGGTGCAGATCCCAAGGAGATGGCGTGAAATGACTCGGCTGAATTATGCGGATGCTTTGACAAGCTCTTTTTCCGCTCAGCTTTCCATTGACTTTTAATGGCCCGCCTCGCATTATTGAGATTTACAGTTTGCCGATTTATTGGCTATTCAGGAGTCGTTTATTGAAGTGACTTTGCTTGGCCACAGGAGGAGCGGTTAGTATTGAAAGTATATATTAAATGAAATTATGGAAGATGAAAATTTATAAAATTTTAACAATTAAAATGTAGGTATAATAAATTTATTACTTATTAATTTATTAAATTTCTTGCTTTGGCTTAGCTTACTTCAACTTAACAATCTTAAAGTATTTCACCCTTTCGCCTCAATTAGACTTTGGATCAACCCTCTCGATCCCATTTTAATCTAGCTCAACTTGAATTTACGACCTTCAAGCCTTTCCACAAGTCTATTGGCCACTGATTTATACAAGTTAATTAACACTTTTGTTGGCCTAACCCCCAAAAAATACAACGAATTCCAAAGCCATTCATAATACGGCAAAGCATATGGGAAGGACCTTTATTCCGCACAGCCTCATCTCCCGGCCACCTATGTCAACAAAGCCGAACAAAAAGGACAATTAAACCCTTTGAAAAAAGGCAGACAAAGCAAGGCAAATACAAACAAACACGGGACAGCAAAAACCGAACAGAGTGTTGAAGGTCAGGGTGCCATCCTCCGTGCACAACAACGATTTATTGGATATTGTTGCTGGATTTTCACAACATTTTATCGCCTCCAGACGGACAGATAAACGCAATAAACAATTGCCGGGCCACAAGCTGCGAGATCCTTGATGCTGGAAAACATATTTAGAGTTTTCTTAAGTAAATTATTGCAGAAATCGACAGGCAGACAGCAGCAGACCCGGAAGCTCAAATGGGCGCAAACATGTCATTAAATGGCAGCCTCGACAGGCATCCCTCCACTCGAAACCCCCTTCAATACCAGTATATATCCTGATCCTGGAGAGCGAGAAAGTTGTTGTTTCCGTTTCCGCCAGAGTTGAGGTCCTTTTGAAATCCTGGCGATATCGCAACGACAACTCCTCATCGTCCTCGTCTCTGTGTGCCCTCTGTCTTTTGGGCTTGGAGCTCATTTGCGAAGTTGCCGCTGCAAATATTTGCTTAGCCTTTTGCACCCGTCCCCAAACGATTACCGAGGAGTGAGCTGGCTGTTTATTTGTTTACTTTCGTTAGACATTCGCCTGCTCGATATGGCGACACTTAACCCTTTAATGACTGCAATGCTGTTGGCACTTTGTGATGCCTTTTGGCAAGTTATTTGCTTGCATGGGTATGCCAAAAATGGTTTAAGTTATTTTGTTTAGTTATGAGGAGAACAAAGTATTTTAATATGAAAACTTTATCTTCCCAAAAATGAGTACTTATTTTATTTGGGATACTTCATCCAAAAGAATACCAACTGGAACTAAATATTTTTATCTTCTCTTTTGCAAATCGGGCAGGCTGAAAAACTACCTAGGAGAGTTCCGCAGTAAGGTGCTGCAGAAACTGAAAATGAAGGTTTTGGAGGAACCCACGGCCCTTCTTGGTCCACCTTCAAGGACCTGATGCCCTCCAAGCACCTGTATACGATGCTCCCTCCATGATGAGCTGTGAGCTATCGCTTCTGTTCTGTTTGTGCTATTTTAATAAAGTTCTCTTAGCCTCCTGCAACTTAATCTCCGCCTGCAATGCACTCTGGGAAATGCTTTCGAAAATAGTCAAAACACTATACAACATGGCATCTGTTCAAACCACAACTAACGAAAGATTGCAAAAAATAAACTTATTACAAAAAATGTTAAGCCTTCACCTTATGTAACAAGTTAAAAGCGAGTTATTGGTTTAATTTTTTTGGGTTCCTTCCAATAAACTTTTGGAACTCCTATAAAACTTTTTGTGACTTGCATTTTATTTGGCAAGTTTGGTTTAGACTTGAAGTTTTCAATATAAATAACAATAATAGAATGCAAGATTAATAAAACTTGCATAGGGAGTCTACACAAAGTTATGTTAAGGTGTTAGCCAAACAAAATCAATATTTACGTTTTGTAGTTTAATTATTTAACCCCAAAATTGGTTAGTATAGAATAATTTTAAAGTTATAAAAGGGGAACAATTTTCTATTAAACAGGAGGATAAGGCCGCACTGCAGTGCCATTTCTTGCTAAAAGTTTTGCCAATATTTGTTGGGAAATTCTTAAAAAATTTTATATTTTTTGAAGATACCCAACCTTAGTAGCACTGTGTTGTTCAACCCGAAGCGGCTTGGCGAAATTTTAAAGAGCGCTCAAAAAATAGTTTACCTTGGCAACACGACGAAGAACAAATTGCCTGCAACTAAACATAATGGTTAAACAGACACCTGCTCGAGGCTCCACTGCACTCAAGGAAAATCACTTGAGCGGCTCCGCCGGAGGTCCCAGGTTCCCTCGCTCCTCGCTCATCGCACCTCGTTCCTCGTCCTTATCGCGCCAGTAGACATCACCCAACAGATTTCGACCTCCTCAACATAATTTGCCGTGGTTTTGCATTTACTTTGCATCTCGAGCGTGCTTGAGGCAAAAACAAAACCAGAATCAGAAACGGCGATGCACGGAAAAAATATAGCTAATTAAGATTACACATTTCATTTTTAAAAACCAACAATTTGCTACATTTATGATATTTAGTATTTAATGATTTTACATTGGTTAAAATTAATATTTATCAATATTAATTAATTATTAATTATTAATATCAATACTGAGATTTAACTGTTAACTTTTATGTACAGTACCTAGTTTATATGGTTGAAACAAAGTCCTTGTTACTTCAATGCTAAAAAACAATTGACTATTTAAAAATCCTAACCATTTTCGATGGTTATTTTAAATCAAAAGTAATTTAAAAATTTCAATTTTTTAGGGTTTAAAAAAGGTTTGGTAAAAAAGTATTGCGACCTATCACTAAAAAAAAAAATAAGTAAAAGTTATGAATTATTCTTAGCAATAAAATCTCGAGTGTACAAGAGCGGCTTCAAGAGCAGTTCAGCAGCATTAGCCTTAGCCTAGCTCCTTGGCTGAGCTGCAGCTGCTTCTTCTTGTTGCTTGCTCCATGCACTTCCGTTTCCGGTTGCCCTTTGCCGCTCATCCCCCGCACCGCACTCGACTCAAGCGTCTCAGTTTGTTGGCTTTCGTCTTGCTAGCTGCATTTTCATCCTGTTTGCAATCACTCCGCCTTCGTGGTCCTTGCGGTTAGCTTCTGGGGAAAAGAAAGTGGAAAAGCGGCGGGAAAAGGGTTTGAAGACAGGGACAGGCAGCCTCAGCTTGTTTTTCGGGTTTGCTCTGTCTTGTCATGTTTTTTTTGTCTTGGGTTTTTAAGTTGCTTGCCATTTGCACAAACATATGCGCATACTTAATTCGAAATTGTTTTTCCTTGGTTAAGGATTTGAATGGCTTAAGGCACACAGCGAGAAATGTTGGTCCTTAAAATATAAATTTTCATTACGAACTTAAAGTGTCTAGGTGATAGGTTGGTACTTGCAAATAAATCAACTCATGAATAAATACCAAATCTTATCATTATGAAAATTGTGGCTTTCTAATTTAAGCAATATGGGCACCCCCTTGCTGTCATTTCTTATCACTGAAATGAGTAACGTATTGTAGCGTAATCAAGGGGAATCCTAATAAAGACTGCTAAATCACAATAAACTTGGCTCATATTTGCCATGTTTAGAAATGCATTTATTAATTTTATTGAACCTCCTCCTCATGATTTCAGATTTAAATACAACTACATAATTAAAATTGTATTTAAATTTATTATTTTATTTTTATTAAATTTTAACGGTTTATCCGTTATTTGCATTCAGGAAAACAGAGAGAATTAATCAAGTATATTGCACTCACTCTGACAATGTTTTCTACTTACAAAAATTCAAGACCAAAAGATCTCAGTATGAGAAAAAATGTTCAAGAACGAAAAAACTCAAGTTGACTACAAAAGCAATTTTTTTCAAGCATTTGGTTTTCGGAATTCCAACAATGTTCAAATTTTCTTTAATTTTTATTATTTGAAATGAAATGTTTTACCAAAATCGACCGATACCCCTCATTTTCCCAATATTAGAACATTGTTCTCAAGTTCAAAATTCAAGTACACCTATCCCCAAATTTTATTATTTTGTGTCTTAAAATGATACAAATGTTCTTATTGTGAGTTCTAAGGCAAAATCTGTACTGAAAATGTTTTTTCAGTAATATATTCCTCAAATTCTAAACTTAGGAATTTCTCTGCGTGCGTTTTTGCATGTAGTTACAACCAGACAGTTCTCCTTGCACCCACTTTGAAAACTGAACTACACGCGTTATTTGCACAGCAAGTTGGAGCTCATTTACACGACATGAAAAACAAACCAAAAGTTGAAGAAGGGAAGGAGGAAGAAATGCCACTTCCAGAAGAAACAGGACCTGACTTTAGCGAAACTATTTTTACTCCGTTTTTAATTTAATTAGCACTCAATTTGCCAGCCTCTTTCAGGGTGTGTGTGTGCACACTTTGCTCCATTAGCAGAAACGGGCGGTGGCAAATATGATTTCCAACTTGTGTGCCTTTCGCTTTTCTTTGAGGAAAATGGAAAAGTTCTGCCTTGCCTCATATTAATTAATCGCATTAAAATGATTTGCATTTGCCGGGGAAAAGTCAGACTTTTGTACTTTGTCTGCAAAAGAGGTGCCGGCACTTATTTAATTAGACTCAAATTATTAATTGCTGTTTGTTCGCCCACTAAGTCAGGTGAGCCTGCGAATCCCATGGGGCCAACATTGGGCATGGACTTAGATGGCAATCCGTCCGGATGATTGATTGTCCGAGCTCTGGGCACGCCAATCTCTGGGGATAAGGAATAAATGCCGGACAGCGCCTGTTGACACAGGTGTTAGTCGCCTGCCACTGCAATTGTAATTGTAATTCTTCTAAATGAGTTCTGTGTTTCTTGGGGACAAAGGAGATTTGTATTTGTTTGCCTGACTTGGAGTTTTATTTTGCTTTGTGCTCCGTTGCCATCTGTTTGCACTGCAGCGAAACTCTTTCTTTGCGATTCCAGTTAAGTTTTCTTCATTTCCTGGACTTGTCCTTTAAAAACAAGTCAAATGTATGGACTCTAGAAAACATTATTTTTTAATGAGCTTTATTTTCTCGCTTTGCTTTCTGGGTTCCAACTTTTGCCAATTTGTGACCGCTTCGATAACTTCCATAAATTCAGGAAAAAGAAATGACATACGACCTGTTGTGAGTTTGCCTCTTCTCGCCAAAACGTCAACACGTTTTTTATCGGCTTAGCCAGTTTTGTTTATGGCTCTTTACCCTTTGGCTGTCTGGAGTCGTAAAGTTCCATTTTTAGACCTAAAGTTCTTGCTGTCTCTATAACGAACCTATAAAGAATTTTATACAACTACATCTACCTCTAAAAATTGTTGCTTCTTTAAACACAAATAGCTTTCAGTTGCCACCCTTTTGGCCTGACAAACGAAGGGAAACTCGTACAGGCTGCATTCGATATTGTGGTATCCAAAGCCATTGTAATCAGCATAGGCAACACAGTCTTTTCCGGAGAGATTCTGCGGTTGATTTGCACTCCAGGGCGTATACGCAACGGATGAGCCATCGCGATTCTGAACAAAGGCACTACCCATTCCCAGGGAAGTGAGTCCTGTCCAAATGGAGTCCTTCCAGCTGTTGGCGAAAGGTATGCCCAGAACTTCAAGAGTGGCTGTCAACAACTGCATATCCTTCTTGTCGTCAAATACAAGCAGAGTGGAGTTTAAGCTGTAGCATTTGCGATCGGCATTAAACCAATTGGCCTGAAAAACATTTACATGTGAGAACCATTTGTATTTTAAAATTCTAAAAAGTCTTACCTTTTCGTAGGACACACGATAGCATTTTTCTCCAACAAGAGTGAAGCCCGATGGACATTTAACTTTTAATTGGGCCGAAGCCAGAGAAAATGTAAAAATAGCACAAAGAAAAAACAACGTGTTCGATGAAGCAGCCATAGTCAAAAACTGATTACTTTCACCAGTTTTTTGAGGTCTTTATAGTTGCTTGTTAGCCAATATTTTCCATATCTAATCTGGAGTGTTTGCTCTACAATTAAGACAATCTGCGGATCTAGTGTTGCCATTTCTTATCGGTAATAATCATTATGAATAACGCCTATTAGCGTAATCAAGAGGGAATACTGATAAAATAACATCAAGTATTTAAGCACGAAATCAGTATTTATGTTACGGTAACAAACCTATTCAATGAATTCCGCTTCCAAGCAAACGTGGACCACGTTAAATTTTTTTTTTTAAGTTTCATTGCCGCATTTGTGGCAAACTGCTTTAGATTATATACAGCCCCTAGGACCCCTGGCAATCAGAGCCGGAAGTTAAATTATTGTGCCAATCTTGAGTAGGGAACTCGACTCTCAGTTCATATAAATAATAGGCCAATTAAAGTGCAGTAAAGCCTCGCAGCAAACCAAACCAAAGTTTAAGTGGAATGATGAAAGGAGTTGAACTTTTATGGCGGGTAAAGCCGTCTGCATTTACCTGGCCAAGGATTATGGTTCATTTAATTGGGTACAATGCACATCGAAATTTTGTTAACAACGATGCCGGAAACTTGGCGAGTCTGCGAGTGCATAGAGTTGGGTCAATTAAATCATTATGAAAAGGGCTCAAACTTATGCACTTATGTACACAAAGACTATATTTTCTATTAAAAGCTGTTAAAACAGATACTTTATGCAACATTTTTAGATAACTCAATTGTTATTGTTGTATTGTCCAAGCTTAAAAGAAAAATGATCAAAACAATGTACATACGTGTTACTTTTTCGCAATGCGATTTTTTAGCAAATTTTTCTCAATCAAAGTTGTCTCGCTGTTCGAAAAGGACCCTTCCCAGTGCGTTTACAAAGCTGATTTTGACTTTAAGTTTGGCATATAGCTCCCCCGCCTGTCGATGGCGTTTCTATCGCTCTGTTTCTGTTCCTCTTCAGCTCTGTACTGGCTGCTCCACCCTGTCAGTTGGCCAACAAAAAGCTCCAGCTACCGACATGGCCTGCTGCTGAATGATAACAACAAGCCACACTGGGAAGCGGTACGGAGCAGTGGCAATTAATCTTTACAATGGCGAACATGCGAAATGGAGTTCATAAATCCCAAGTCACGCTACACGGCACCGAGAATGGGGATTTGGAGTGGGCTTTCGGTGCTTGGTTATGTAGTTTAACTTTAAACTACTAACTACTGAGTTGAACAAGTGATGCATAAATTGCGGTCTACTTAAGGATTTGCTATCAAAGGAGCAGAGCAATTAGTGAAAAATATGCATTCTGTAGAACATTGTTTCTTAAATCCCAAATCCACGTTTTTTAGGGTTTTTTAAATAGCTTAACCTTTCCCCTTTGCCAATGCCGGAGATAAATGTATGTTTATTCGAATGAAAGGGCACACCATGCCAATGCCGAGCAGAAAGAAGACCCGGGGAATTACAGCCATGGTAATGCCTTGATATATTAGGGTAGACAGCGTCTACAGTGCGTATGAGTAATAATGCGACAATAGATTTATGGCGAATGGCAACGGAGCGCCTCTGTTTGCGCTTATGTCTGTATAAAAAATGCATATAAATATCGCATTTGTGGGCGATTTATTATGGCCAAGGCGATGGCTCGATCTGGTTATCCTTTCCGCCAGCGAAATTAGCTCATTTGTCTTATTTTATGCCGGCTCAAAAAGGAATATTAGGGCTTGAAAGTGCCAACGACTGGCAGAAATTACGAGACGCTCTTCCTTCCTGCTCGGAAAACAACTTGAAATGTTATGTCTGTGGTTAGATTGTATTTATCCCCGAACAACTGCCCCTGCTAATCCCCCTTTTGCATAAATCAACAGGCTTTTTAAGGCTGCTAAAAGGTCGCCGCCCACGTGAACTTTGCCCTGCCGGCTGTGGTCTCCTTTATGGGGCTCGAATTTATTGGGGTCAATTGCCGGTTGCTCTGACCATGAGCACATTCCAGATGCTGGTTTTATAAAATATTTATCTGATTGCCTGCCTTTCAAATCACAACTGATAATTGGGTCGAAGGCAATCGCCAGCTGAGAACATGTCCAGAACATGAGGGGAATTTAAATGGACGGATTAGGACCCGGAGTAGGTGACGACTGCCTTAAAAGTGGGAGAGGTATAAGGTAAAATAATATTAAGCCTTCTGCTTTATTTTAAAAATTAAGTTATAAAATTGTATATAAAATATATAACATAGTATAAACATAATATACATTATCTCTGGAAAACAAACGGATTATACTATAATGAATAGCAATTTACAACTTATTTTGTATCCATTTAAAAATCTTGTTTATTACTTATTACACAGAAATAATGAGAACGTTTTCTTGACTTCCTGCAAGTCGCCACAACATTGGGAAAAATATGCGACTGATGTGCAAGCAACTGAAAGTACTCCCCAAGCAAACTTAATTCCAACAAACTCTGTTTCTAGGCTGTTGAGCGAACACAGCAGGAAATTCGGGTTTGCCCCTCCTCGAAAAGGGCATAAAAATGCGGCAACACAAAACTGCCGACGACTTCTACGACTTTTTAAGTTGTAGTAGACTTGATGGGGAAACAGCTGCTTCAAAAAAACGCCATGAAACTCCTCCGTGTACATAGTTTTTAGCAAATTTTTAGCATACTTTCTCTAACTTCTTAACTCGAATTTACGAAGGCAAAGTTTATTCAGAAAAAGAAATATGTTTTCAGCACGGAACTTGTTAATTTTCCGCTGCAAATCTGTCAACTTTTTGGCTGGCTCTAGGGAAAAAATTCAATGGCAAGTGACAAAGTTTGTGCCGCAAGCTCCGAGTAGAGGACACTTCTAGGCTCAGTTGCTGAGTTGCTGGTCTAATTAAAAGTCTAGACTCCGGAGCGACTTTTTCATCTCCATTGTCGATTGCGATTCCGATCTGACCATCCATTAACCGCAATTTCCAATTAATCAACTGGCGTGCATTACCCGCAACAACAAGGAGAGCACAATGCACATGGGCCATGCAAATGTTATAAAGTTAATTGCCATCGCTGGTCATTTGCCGGCCAAAGACCCTCCCAACTCCCAACTCCCAACTCACCACTCTTTACTCCCCAATACCCGTTCCCCATTCACCCTTTTGACCACTCGCATTCGGGGCTGCTCTTTTGTGGAGCTGCTGGTCAAAACATTGGGTATTCCATGTGTGAGCTCTGCTGTTAGATAAAAGTTTGAAATGAATGGCAGTTGTGCCAAGGGGTTGTCGGCCGCTCTCTCCGACGACTTGAAGTCCACGGAAAATGCATTTTCTTGATAAAAATGATTGCTGTACGAAACAAGTCTGAATGAGTTGGCAAGCAACTAAGTCAATGCATTTAAGGTTCGGTCAGTAAGGAACAAAATATTTCAACCAAATATAGAACTTAATGCAATGTTAAATGGAAGCGTAAGTAGAACAAATAATCAAGAACTAAAATAAATTAATTATTTTTACCATTTTTTTAGTACTAAAAGGAAAAAGACAGCTAAGCTAATTATTTTTGGGAACTATTGGAATTAAAATAAATTATATACAAAAAAAGAGTAACCCATCTATTTATGCATTTTTAAAAAAAATTCTTTTGGAAATAGTAATAATTTGATAGTGCAGATTTACGCACTTAATGATATTCAAATCGGACCCCGATATCTTATATCATAGGTGACAAATCGGATAATTTAGCTGAAAATCATCATAGCTTCAGTGTATCTAAATACATACGCTTATAAATCGAAATTTAAATGTTATCAAGAATATTTAATTTTTGCAAGGGCATATAAACTTTGCCATTCGAAGTTTGCTTCCTTTATTGTTATTATTATTTATTACAACCAACAAAGATTATTTCGAATAACGGATTTTTATTTTTACCGGATTTACAATGAAGAAAAACTCCGTTCCAATCGCCATAATGATTTTCAACACTTTGTATAAAGTTAGTCTTTCATAGCATATATAAAAATATGTGTTTTTTCAAAGCTTATGATTCTGGTTGAAAAACCACAAAATTAATTGCATGTCATTAGCAGGAATCTATTAAAAGCCCGAAGCAAAACGCAGCTAAAAGCGGCGGCGACTTAAATACCTTGGCAACCGAACAACCGAACAACCAAACAAACAAACAAACGTGTTGCCCAAACCTCTAAATCAAACATTTATCCACACATGAAAAATCTTTGGAGGGGGCATTTGTGCATTTACATGCCTGAAAGTATGCAGTGCGGGATTGAATGCAGAGATAGTAGGGTGAAAGCCCCTCAAAAGCGAGCTCATTTGACTGGCCACCGCCCTTCGAACTCATTCATTTGGCTAAGCCGCCCTTGCACTGCTATCGACCACGCCCACTGCCACTCCCCATTACCCAACACCGCCCACCTCGATGTGTATGTGAATACTAATGTGCAATGATTAAATTTTAATTACCGTGCACCAATCCAGTTTGCGTTCGTTTCGATTACACCTCCTGCTGCCACTGCTGCTACTGCTGTTCTGCTTTTGTGGCAGTATCTCCATCTGAAAACAGCTCGTTTTTCATCCTTTCGAAGTGATCAATGGAGGAATGGCTGAATGCATGGATGCCGCTGGCCATTCAGACCTCCTGTTAACATCATTAACTGTTGCCGATTCAACGAGGTCGATGCTCCGAGATAGGTAACTCGAAAATAAATACTGCTCATACAATGCCAAGTACGTTTAACACAGGGGAAAAAAGCTAGACTTTATATATCATTTTAATATTAATACTTATTGCCAAATAAGAGATAATATTAGATTGATCCTCACAGTAGTTATTTTACAAATATAAAAAAAATTCTTCAATAATCTCCATCAAATTTGTATATCACGTATAAATAATATTTAAATTGAATTTAAATGCTGTACTATATTAAGCTAATGTAGAATTAGCAACTAAAATTAGCTTAACGTAG